ACGCAATGTATTTAAAGGAGCTATGTATTTAAGGTAAATGTTATAATAATGAATGAGGGAAAAGTTTAATCAACTTATCTGGCTTGTAAGGCTGAACTAGGGACTCAGAGTACGTGCGTGGTAATCAGCACAATGGAGCGCGAAAATGGCGTCCAAGCCTGCTCGGATGCATGCTCGTTAAAACAAAACTTAAAACACCCTAAGCATCCGGAGGCAAGCTAGAGATTTATTTAGTTAATTTAATTTAAACTATTTATTTTAGCCCTAGTCATATTTTGGTGCCAGGAAGGTGCACTACAACCTTTTTGGTATCGTGTTAACCTCTTCAGACAATAAAATGTCAACAAGTTTCTACATGTTTAAATAACATAATAACAAATCCAATCACAATACACTGGTCTCACTATCCAGAGAAATTGCTTACATGAAGTAATGATGTGTGAAAGTGAGTGCATTCCTGATGAGTTTAAGTGAAAATGAACTAACTCTCATCGAAAATAACAGTCAACGGAATCGTTCATCCTAAAAGAATACAACCGAAAGTTCTCATGTAAATTGTTATCTGTAATACGATTCATTCATATTAGGCACCGATTTCAGTAAGAGAAGTACGATGTTTCTTGACCAAAGTAAAATGGAAGTGTTTAAAGGTCAGAGAATACGGTTAATGTCGTACAGCTGTAGTCATTTCTTAAGATTTTTCAGGGGATAAATTAATTATTGAGGCGTAAGTCAGATAAATAAGCATTGAGAGTTTGTTTGATATCCTAAACTAGCGAATGGGTGCTGCTGTGTTCACACGATATCTGTTTGAGTAACCAATCAACTAATAGAAAAGCTTAAATTGACCACAGGGCTGAAAAATCCTACCTTGTGAACATCTGAGTAAACATAGTAGTCTTTATTTTATGATAATCTATCCCCTAAGTTGATTATGGGAATTTGTGTCGATTGGTCTTCTGAACATGCGCCGAGTTATTTGATTTAGCGTTATGATTGTACTGCAGTCATTCAGCAGTTACTGATATAGTTTCTTATCGCTAGTCAGTGTACTGAAATTAACACCTATATGCCATTACAAGGATATTATTAGGTGTTTAAAGTTTAAGGAGGTTCAGGTTTGATAAAACATTCTAGTTAGACCTATTTCTGTGACAATCACATCTGTAATTCTTTCCTTTCGGATAAACTGAGATGATCAACGATCCAGATGGATTATATCTGCCGGTAGAAAGTTATCGTCTGTACTAAATTTGAACTTCACTTTACCTAATAAGAACTTCGTAGCCAAATAACATCATTAGGTCTGATACAATTCATAACTTGTAATTTTGCAAACAGATTCCTGACGGGTCTCACTTATATTTAAGAAAGTATGTTTCATCCTAGAGAACTTTACGTGGAAATCCTTTGTATATGCCATTTTGAAGATGGTGGTTCCTTGTTGCTGTATAATGACGGAGAATATTTGTAGCTGCAAAGCATGTTTTGATTAGTGTGGTATTCTATGATCTGGATGATTTTTTTGTTGTTTGAAGAAATAGAAGTACTATATTTAAGAAAAATTTACAAAAAATGAAGATTTTTGTAAATATGTGTTGTGGGCGTAAAAGTGAATAGCTTTTTGTGTTATGATTCGCAGTTAAACGCTCGATACGAACAGTATGCTAAGCTCAGATAGATAGATACACGATAACGAACCGCTGAATTCCAACCAAGCCAATAGTAAGTAAAGAGGAAGACGAAGTAGTAACAAGTTCAACACGTTTGTTACTGCTGTGCACAGGGTGATATATATAAATTACAACAAGACATATAAGCGAACAATATTGTTTTTAATTAGATCCTCTTCAAGCTTTACTCTAATACACACAGCTGAATATACATATAATTAAACCAATCATGTAAATTTGTCGGTTGATGTGATAAATGTTTTAAGAATAACCATGGTGATAATAATACAAATAATAATAATAATGATAAAAGTGATAACGTTGACTAAAGCACATGCAATATAGATGGTGATAATGATGATAAGAACCAAACCAAGAAAGCAACATACAAATGTAGGCACTCCAACAATAAACTTGGGTCAAAAGCTTGTGGAAAATAAAAGTTACTTAATACCAAAGCGGATAAACAAAGCCTAAAGAAATACAGTAAGCATATGAAAGGGGTGAAGAATAAGAAAATCGGTAGAAAAAAATATGAATCCTAAAGTTATTAACTAAGTATTCCCTGACCAAGGGATGTACAATTCTCTTCTCGATACAAAGACAAGGATTATTAGCTCGAATTCCCACAGCTTCTGCTATGTGTGTAAAAGATGAGTTTGAATACCTTTCGAAAGATTAGGTGGTATGCGTTGAATAATCGTGAAAGTATTGTTCTTATCTAACAAGTGACTACTATCAAGGAGGTGAGACAAAATCGGACTTCTGATGAAGTTTCTGTCCCTTTCCCAACCATGAAGTTAGATGCTCAGCAACACGTTTGTTAAGTTGTCTAGTAGAACGCCCTATATAACTTTCTCCACAGGATCAGCTAAACTTGTAAATATACATACAAATGGTAAAACTAGATACCTTATCTTTTGTCTGGGCAACTATAATTGGTCGACTGGAAAATGATAGATAGAGTTGTGCGGCGTAGAAGGTCCACTCAATGACTCATGATTATTCACCGCATACCATCTCATTTTTCGAAAGGTATTCAAACTCGTCTTTTACACATAGTAGAAGCTGTGGGTAGTCGAAATTTGTACATCCCTTATCTCTCACTTGGTCAGGGAATACTCAGTTAATAACTGTTTAATTTGTCAGCATTTTCTGAAATGGTTGAGATATCATTTCATCCATATTCACATAGTGCGATACTTCTTGAGGTTTATTCAACTCCAATGAATCATTGAGAACTTCTGCTTCACTTGGTCTTGTTCAGTTGGTGATCACCATTGAAATATTTACTTTTTAAAGTGATGCAGACCCACTCATCACCGATGGGTTCACAACTTCTAAGATGAGTGAAACGTAGCACGTATCACTAAGCCTTCAAGTTAAAATTTTGGTTTGAGGAATCTATCCTCTACTATTTTATCGTGCAATACAATTTCTTTCTCATCTATTTGAGAAGTGACTGTTGTAACTTGTTGGCCTATTGGATAAGGCTTTGACGTTTGAAGTAGTCGATTCAGGGTTCAAGTTCAGCTGGGGACAAAATAGCTCGCCGGGAGGCAGGTACATCGACCTGACGAGTCTCAAATAGGACGAAGCGTCCGTCCTAGATTTCACAGCTAGCCACTATCCATCATTATTATTTGAGAATATTATTGTGCTTCATACATACCATGTGTAACTGCTATGACCTGTGGTGAGACCTAACAGACTACAAGCGACGCGAACCTAACACGTAAAAGAATCTACCATAATCGCTAATAAGAACACTAACAACTGGCACGTGAAGGAAAAACGAACCATTGACACAAAGCTCTTACTGACTTTACAACAGTCAGTACCTTTGCAAATGATGCTGAATATATACATTTCAGACGACCTTGATAAACAGTAAATCCATTGATAAGTTAAAAGACCTAACAACCAATGAGAGTTCAGCCTTCAGAAGCAGTGGGAAAAACAAAAGCCAGCAAAGGCACCAACAGCAATAATCATGTTATTTTAAGGTTATAGGCAAATATCAGGGTATGTAATAGTAACTGACAGTCTATTTAGAATATTACATATTTGGCTATTGCTACTGAGTGATACTTCTTACAATATTTCTTAACAAAATTATTTAATTTTGTCCAATGAAATTTACAATGTGCCTATATATATTACTCAGCAATAAGATGGTGTTCTCAGAGCTTTGGTATTTTGTCGGGAACGTCTCATCACTAGGCTTGGTGATATCTTCAGCCCTTACTTCATAAGGAATTGAAGCATATTTAAATAATACACGAGTGTGTAGATGGTGTTTTCGTTGACCTTGGATGTTGTCCAATTGTCCGTTGGGGGTAGAAATGTTTTATCATGCCCTGACCTTAAATTTTCTTCAGTCATGACATTAGATATTGAAATTAGGCTGCTTACTGCCGTCACTATGCATCATTATTGATTTTTTCGGTCACTTTGTCCATGGTTGATAGATATCTGTTTTTTCCCTAAGCAGATTATAGATCCGGCGTATATCCACATATCTGTTGATTGACAATTCGTTTGAATGCCATGTTTCTAAAAAAATATCTCGCAGCTTTTAAACCTGCTTTTTAAAGAATTTCTATATGCCACCGACAGAATTGTCTGCATGCACTGAAATCTGAGATATCTTTGATGTAGGGTGTTGTGACGTACCTATTGATTTGAGACAGTTGCTCTGCCTTCTAATGTGCTGATAAAGTTGAGTGGACAATCATTGGCTTAGAACACTTCCATAGTGTTTTTTTAAGTTGGTTTTCATCATGGACTGACATCAGTAGCAAGAATATTGGAAACCTGTGAGCACTGGACAGGTGTTTCGTCTCACTAGTATGGGACTCTTCAATAGTACCCACCAAAGACCTAAAGGTCCCGTGGCCCCAGCACGTTACCACTGAGCCACTGGGTCGAAACCCAATGGTCTATATTTCCGTAGTGTTTCTATGATACAATGTGTTTTGGCTCTTGAGAATACCAATAAGGTGAGAAGATTTCAACTAACAACAACATTGTATGAAATAGCAAGAGAGTATAATATACACATGGACATTCAACTACTATTGTTAGCAAACTTGTGATGACAAAATGCATAAGTTCTTAGATCTAAGAGTAAAATACTTTTTGTTATATAAAATGAGAAAAGTAGAAATTTATTTATTCATTATCTACATGAAAATTATGCCTAGACAAAAAAAAAATAATTAGATAACCGCAAAAATGACAAGATTTCTGAGCTGTCTATATAACATACAACAACAAAAAAAATAACTGATTACTGTAAAATACTTTCAGTTTTTTCTAAGGGAATTATCTTTCATCAAGATTTTCATACTTAGAAAGACGTTGACGTGTTTCATATAACTTTTGTTCAAGTTCTTGATTACGCCAAATTAAATAATCGATCAATTGATAACTTGACAAACTATTATCTGGTGGATGATAGTTTATTCCTTTACTTTTGTCATCCTTATCTTCTACTGTCATCAGATTCTCAGAAGTATCTGAACAAGTATTGTTAAACGAGGTAACTACTGAATGCATAGGAGTGTTGATATGATTTCCCCTTAGATCTGAAAACTAAAATAATATTATAAAACATGAGAAAAACAACTTGACATGACGAGAAAAATCTCAAATAAAATGCTACTATTAAATAGGAAACAGATTTTCAATACCTTTACAAGCCAAAAAAAGGACTGATAAACAGGTTCAAATTAGACGATGTTCAATCATATCTTGTAGACTCATGTAATATTCATCATTAACATTGGGAACGACTTTCCTTTTACCTTCATTAATTTCGAATGTAGGTCAATAAATTCTATGGAATCGTCAAAGAACTCATTGCTGATCTATAGAATCGTTAAGGTAGATGGTTTTCATAATAAAATAGTCTTCTCTTTCGGTATGAATTAAAAGATTGTCAATACACTTCATCATCATCAATATTAACATAGGACCCAGGCATTACTGCGTAACGGTCCAAGTTGCCACATCTCATATCAGTACATCAAGTAAAAAGGCAGCGAAGTGGAAAAGGAAGAAGGAAAGAAAACTCAGTCAAAAGAAATATAAAGTACCAACGAAGAATGAGAAAATGGTGAGGTTTGGTATATCCTTTAGACAAGGATAATGTCTGTATACATCTGTGTCGCTGACATCAGTTCTAAGCCATATCACCTACAGTCTTCAACCACTGGTTCCTCTTGTCTCATGGACCCCAACCACCTAGTCTGCATCGCATCACATGGCTCAAACCAACAGTCAAACACTTCATAGATTGGTGCCATGTTTTAGTCTGGCCATCTCGGGCCTTTTTCCAGCCTGAACCTACTTCGGTCAACATTGTGTGACGAGACAATCGGTGACTAGGCATACGTAACAAGTGTCATAACCATCTTAGTTGATGAGGGCTCAACAGTCGTGTCAACTGACTTACCTCTTCTCCCTAAAACTCTACGCTTGACTTCTACGTTACTTACCTGGTGACACCAAGGAATACGGCCTATACCAAAAAGGCAACGGTTGTCAAACACCTGAAGTCTTCTCACAAAACATGAATGAAGCTCATTACCCAAGACGTGGCACTAGTTGATGAAGTCTCTTACTGTTGGGCAGATGTAGACTGCCTGGTTTGGGTCCCTGAGACAAGAGGAATTAATGGTTGAGGACTGACTCTTGGTGGAATGGTCGGATATAGGTCACAATGGAACAGATTTATTCACTCGACGTCTTCTAAAGCTTGAATATTTGCACTGACTGTTATCTCCAGGTTGTTTGTTCCTTTACAAAAATTCGTCTACTTTCATATCACTCTTCCTTTATCCCCCTTCTTCTTTGCATATCAGTGTGAAGTGCAGCAACTTGAGCCGATGCATCCGTATGCGAGATTCTACGCTGATTTTGTCAGTCAGTCAGTCTAGATATAGTATAAGGAAACTGATTTCTATACTGTTGCAATTGTCGCTATAAAAATCTGAAATATGATGACATGAATGGTTGATTTCCAATCAGCACGTTCTTGCAGTAGGTAATAAGCCACACCCATTGTGTGAGGGCTAATGATGCTAACTGGCTGGTGACACCGAGGTGGATGGAGCTAAGTTCGATCTTATCGCTAGCTCATCGGTGGATATTAAAAACTTCACACTAGTGAGGAATTTCGAAAGCCATTAACTGAATACAGCAAATAAACAGAGTGTACATGATATCTGACAACTGAATCAGGGTTTAGACATTTAAACATAACGGCACTTTAAGAAAAAGGTTTTATATAAAGAAAGGCAACAATAATTACCTCTGAGTTGACTGATAGTATTTCTACAACTTCAGTTGCACTAGGACGATACTGTACATTGAAATTTAACATTCTAGCAACTAAATGACTCTGTATTATGAATATGAAGTAAACCAGAAGTATACGAAAAGTTATACAATACACAACAAATTTATATGCATGAAAAGACATAGTTAGTGTCCAAAGTAAGATTTTCCATTGATTATTATGCCGGACTCAAATGATCAGTACCGGTTGACATTTAGACCTTTTGAACGAATGATAAAACTTCCTTCGTAAAAGCTAGGGTAGTGGGATCCAAGATGCACTTGTATCCCAGTGAAAACTACTCCTCCCAAACCCAGTATCTATCACTTCAAACGTCTAAACATCATACACTAATGAATCCAAGTTTCAGTAAGGACACAATCACTTACTAGGATTCAGATGCATTCAGCTGAGCACTTTACTCCTTTAAATTCTCTCTCCTCTTATACATCTTTGTTCACTTTGATATCCATCTGTTCTTTGTATGTTATTGTGAAGTGTAGCAACCTGAAGACATACATAATTGTGTCAGTTTCTACGTTGATTTTGTCAGTCCGCTTGGTAATATTGCTTGTAGTTATATCATAGTTTCGTATTCTTTTGTTAGCTTATCCTACCATATAGAGTATCTCACTACATATTGATTTGTTTCTTGTCTACTGATATCCTCCTTTACTGTTCAATGCCCAATGTTTAACAAAAAATACTCTTTTTACTTCTCTGTAGAGACATGAGTTTTGATCAATACTGTCTCATATTAGAATTATTTACTCCATTATCAATGAATATTGATATTCAATTTGAAGGTTTGTGGGGATTTCTTGATTTCAGGTTGATATTCCCTCATGGACTGATATGTGGACAGTAATTCAATAACGGAATTGGATGGAGGTCACGTTATATCATGAACTGATAGAGGTAAGAAATATAGACCAGTGGATACCAACCCATTGGTTCAATGATAACGTACTGGCCAAGGAACCTGAAGGTCCCAGGTTTAAGCCCTGGTAGGGTCATAGGTGTATACTCACTGCTGAGGAGTCTCATACTAATGAGACGAAACACCTGTCTAGTGCTCCTAGGTTTCTAGTATTTCTCCAAATGATGTCAGTTCATAATGAGTAAATCAACCTGAACATTGAAGTGACATTCCGTATTCACACACACACACACACACACACACTAAGGACTCATCAATATATTTGAAATCAAACAGAAAATGTTCTTAAGAAAGAGACAAAAGGTAAGAAAAACAACTCACTTCATATGGCCATGTTGATTGCATTGAACGAGGAAATGAATCCAGTAGATAATCTACACCACCTCGTTTAATAGGATAATTAATATGATACTGATCAGTATTCATTTCTTTTTGATTTATGACACTATGACAAGTACTAGACTCGGATATCTTGAAAATTGTTCTAAATAAGTTATTAGCTCTGATTTTGTAAAGCAAGGATGTAACATTTCAAAGTAGATTACACCTAAACTGTAAATATCAGCCTATAATTAAATAAATATTGAAAACAATAAAATTATTAATAATGATAACAATAATAATCATAATAATAATGGCTTTATTCTGAAACCTATTTGTGGAATACTCTACAGAATTTTCAGTACATTAGTTGGACAGAGACAGTGTATACGTATAGATAGTAAAATAAGAAGAAATTATATGAAGAAAAGATAAGACTATTCGCTCCACCTACAACTTTCTTTAGAATACACAGTCAATTTAGGTAGACAATCACATTGGCAATAAGATTCATAAAAATGTACATAGTAATACACTCATCTTCATTTAGTTTGCTTTTATAAACAGAAGTTGATTAGTTAGTTCATTTCTAACACTTTCCTCACTGAACAATAGATGATATTGTAAAGTTTTTATATTTTGTAGTACGTGAATAGTCTTATGTACTTGCTCCTCATCTTTCCAGATGACTGACACGTAGAGAGCTTTGAGTGAAGAGGATGTTGGTCATATGATAAAATAATTCCTGTTACATGTTCACATGAGTTGGTATGTTTATCCACAACAGTTTTAACTAGAAGATTCAGGGGTACACCACTAGTTCTGCTGACAATGTTTAAAGTTTTACGCAATATAGCATATTCTTTTGTCAGCAACCCAGGAAAACATTAAGGGGGGAAGCTGAGGAGGGCACGCAAGATGCAGAAGTTTATAAACCAAGAGGAAAGGCTGAGTTATACCACATATTCTCAGCTTTCTAATATAGAACAGTAAGGCTGAAAAATCTTTTGGAAATTAGTGAGATATGCGAAAACCAGGAAAGGTCCGAAGAAAAACACACTTGTATTTTTTTTTGCTTTTTATTATTTGTCCCTTGGGTTCCTAGTGGACATACGGCTTCAGTAGCATGTCTCCATTGCACTCTCTTCTTTGCAGTCCTTTCAACATGGCTCTACAACTCCCCAGAAGTTTCCATTTCTTCCTCACATGATCTCCTCCATATCACCCTCGACTCGGATGCACAACTCGTCCTTTCCCATTCAGGTCCCACTCGACCGCCTGTCCTGGGGCGTGATGTCTCCAAACCGTCTTCTCAGTCTATGCCCAATCCATCTCCACTTTATTTCTCTGCATATTTGTTAGGCGATAGGTTCTTGGTTGGATCGTTTCCAGCCAGCCAGAATTCCTTCTTGCTTATTCTGATTATTCTGGCCATCTGATCTTCAGTGTCAGTATCGAGCGAGCGTAGGCAGCTCATGATGAATGTCTGTAGTTTGTTGGAAATGCTTTTCGTGACGCCCAAAGTCTCTCAACCATCACATAAAAGCACTGACTTGATTGACATCAGTAGTGTTGAAAATCCGGATTTTGTTCACGCTTTATGCCGAGTGCAGTGCAGTAGATCTCCACACTGGTTTCAGGTTAATGCAGGAAGACCTGGCCTGTCTTGCTTCTACGATCCTGGCTTCCACGACCTCATCTGTGCCACCGCCTGTAGTTGAAACGATACTGTCTGCCTAGGTGGGTGAAACAGACAACTTCCTTGAGGTTTCTCCCGTTCATGGTGATTGGTGCTTGCTGTTGTTGGTTGCGTATCTTCATCACCTCTATCTCTGTCTTCTCTTTGTTCACCTGAAATAAGTCCCGTCCTCCTTCGTTGCCCTGCTTCTTCTGTCAACTTGTTGGTTTTTGCCGGTAGATTTTCGAGTTTGTGCGACATTAGATATAGAGCATCAACAGCGAAATCCAAATCTTCTAGGCTCTTCTCATCAGTCCAGCAAGCATATGCCCATCTTCTCGCTCCTCACTGTTGTCTGCTGCATGATCCAGTCCATCACAATCACGAAGATCATCGGTGGTAGTAGGTAGCCCTGTCTTACTCCTCTCTGTCTTCACTTCACTTCAAAGGCGTCACTGAGCTTTCCATCGTGAATCACTTGGCATGTAGCATCATAATATAGTGTATAGCTGCTGTTGAATGACGTACATATAGGTTTGTGGTATTCCGTAGTGTTGAAACAGCTGCCTGCCAAATTAGTTCTCGGTCAACGCTGTCGAACGCCTTTACAAAGTCAATGAAGTTGAGTTGATTGCCATTCTATGCTTAGTTCTGTGATGATGCGTATGTTAACGTTGCAATTTGATCCGCACATGATTTGTACTTCTTGAACCCAGCCTATTCCTGTGTTAATTTTGAGTCCAGTGCATCTCTCCAGGATGATGCGGCTTAATACTTTGCTTGGGATGGACAGCAGCATGATTCCGAGCCAGACTTAGGCCTCTCTTCTTCTAATCGATTAGCATGTACCTACCTTCCTTACAAACCTTCTGCAACAGTGATGTGAGCGTGTCAGCTGTTGTCTCTGAGTCTGTCTTTAGTGCTTCTGGATGAATCCCATCTGGTCCTGCTGCTTTCCCGGATTTGAGCAGCTTTATGGCGTTCAGGACTTCGGCTTTTGTCGGAGGGCTTGCTTACTGATAATTCTGTGGCTGGGCTGCTGGTCGTATTTCTGGACGAGTTGCAGGTGGTGGTGGTGGATTCAAGAGCTTTTTGAAGTGGTTTAAACATCGTTTCCTTTGTTTCTCCTCTTTGGTGTTAACTAGGTTTCCTTCACTCTCTTTCATTGGTTTCGACTGCGTTGATCTCTGCCTTCCCAGATAGTATTCTGGTCACTTGATATAGTGTTGTCAGGTCTCTCCTACCAACAGCCTGTTCTGCTTCACTTGCCATTGTGTCGCGGAAGTTTCTTTTGTCTTTGCGCTCACTCTTCACTTCTTTGTCCAGTGTAGTATTTTATAGGTTGTTTTCAGTTCCTGTTTTCGTTATTCGTCCCCTCACTGCACTGGTTCATCTTCTGCTTCACCATCTTCCTCTTCCTCGTCTATCAGCTTCCATATGTCCGTCGGGATCCATTCCTTGTCTTCTTCCTTACTGGCACGGTTATGCAGGTTTCTTTCCACATCTCTTTCAAAGAGTCCATGTGTTCTTCCAGGGATGTTGCTTATTGTCTCCCATTCTTTCCTGATGGCTGACTGACGTGAAGATGTCTTTTGTAGCTTCGTCCTTCAGTTCTTGTTGCTGCCATGATCCTGCAGATGGAGATTGGTTCCCACTGCATGAGAGTGAGCCTTCGATGCTTTTGGGGACATCATGACAGCCACTCCAAAACTCGTTGTGCTGGTGGTTGTCGTTCGAGTGACTGGAGTAGATTATTGACTCTCCAGTTGATAGTTTGGAGAGTCTACTTCCATTCTATCTGTAGATCCCTCGCAGATTCCTAGCACTTCTATGCTATACCTCACCTGGTTAACTAGTTCACTAATTACTTAGCCGGTCTTAAGCCCGAGTAAAGAGGGAAGGTTGGGCATAGGACTAGCAACCCTACCCCGTAAGCCAGTCCAATCGCTAAACAAACTTCAAAACAGAAAGAAAACATGAAAAATGAAAATAAACGTATTCTTCGATGGAATCGGGGAGACAAAATGATGCCGGTTGGTGAAAGTCTTCGGGAAGCCTACTGCCCAATGTATCTTCCTCTCGATGAAAGCGAAAGTAAGAATCACACTTGTAACATTCTCTAATGCACAATTATCAATAAAACAGAAATCATGAGAACTAAGCAGTTTACATAAGTTATATCCAACCCCTAAACTAAAGTTTATGGTTTGAAATTTTGTGGAACTAAGCATAAGACCATTTTCGGAGGACCATCGTGTAACAGTAGGAAATCATTCAGCTGGGAGCAATCTACTGAAGAGGAGATGGGTATGAAAACTGTCAGATCATCAGCATATTTGATGAAATTGATACCAGCTAAAGATGGTACGTCATGCAGAATGAATGAACAAAGACATGGGGAAAGGATGGCTCCTTGAGGGACTCCAGTCATAGTAAGTAATGAGGTGGAGCGCTTCCCTCAGTGGACAGTTTATTGTTTCCTATCACAGAAATGAGAATGCATGTATTTCTAATAAATTTTTAGTAGACAAATTTATTTATTATACGCAGGTGAACATTGAAGTTGAGGGACAGTATCTGAAGCTATCATCTGAGTGTGAAGCTGTGATCCACTTTTCTGGGCAGTTTACTTTAAACCAATAGATTGAACATAATATAACCTTGTTATATATATATGCAAGTTAATACTTGAACAATAACCTTGAGATTCCACTCTTGTTCAGTTTGTTCAGTAAAAAGAAGAATGTGATAAGATAATCGAAGGTGTATTGCAATGTCAAACTATATGCAAAATACAACAGTCTATGTATGTTGACAATCGCCTCAACTATTTACAGACCTTTCTAGTAGGACATTTTCAATTCATATCGCCACTTCAACTAATCTGATATTTATACCTTCGATGACTTAACTTTTCTCAAAACTTCGACGTAAAATGGTTGGCTTATTAAAAGCTTCAGATACTTAAAGTTCCTTAAAAGGGTCTGGGCAGCTTTATCGCACCTTATAACAGAACCATTTCCCAACTTTGCGGGGTTAGGCAGATAGGTGGCAAATCACCTCTCATACACTAGACATGTTTCATCGCTTAATGTATAAAAGTACACCTGTCCTGTGTACAATGAACGCTATGGAAGCCGTTGGGACGACATGCGGAACACATGTCAAAGCCACTGAAGCCGGTATTTCCAGATGATTTGACTTACTGGATGACGATCTCCATCATACTCAAGGACACGCTGTCGTACCTCAGCATTACTAATATGGTATCGCCACCGGATGCGAGCGATCCTACAGAAACAAATATGATAGAACAAACATATCTTCAGCTCGGGGAGGCCCCATTTCACAGGTGTACAGAAAAACTGATCGTATCGAAGAGTTGTAAACCCAACCTTTTACGGTCAGACCAACGTCGCGACGACAACAACGGCGGCGGAGATTGACGAATGCCATTTTGGCTTTTGATATGCAGTTGGAAATTTTACCACACACCCCCATTAGCGCTCACACAACTACCCAGATGCATGAACTTTTCGACTACTTTCAACGGCTCACCACCTAGGGTGAGCGCAGGTTCCTATCAATCTTGCAAGAGTACTTTGCACTTTAATAGTGCAAAGCACATATGATACTTATGGACACTAATCACCAACTGATTAAGTGAGACTTGAGCGATCTGTGTGTTATCGCACAGTAAGACAACATTGTCAGCATATTCAAGGTCGAATAGCAGTTCGCTGGGTATTAGATCTACACCACCATCACGCCTCTCATTCACAGCTGTTCTACGAATGTCATCGATGGTAAAGTTAAGGAGGAATGGAGAAATAGGGCAACCCTATCTAAACCCACTGTTGATTTGGAACAATGGAGACAGGTAGTTATATACCCTCATTCTAACCGAGTTGTTATTATATAGGGAGTTCAAGATGTTAAGAAATTTCTCGAGCACGCCCCTCTCCAACAGACAGTTCCAGAGTACCACTCTGTCAAACGAATCGAAGGTAGCCCTAATGTCAAGAAACACAACGACTGTTGGTCTGGAATATGTGTGGCGATGTCCAAGCATCTAACGGAGGGTAAATACAAGACCAATCCATCCATGACTTGAACGAAACCCGGTCTGCTCCTTCTGAATCATTTCCTCACGTGTTTTGCAAAGTCTGCGAAGTATGACAGGAGCCAGTATTTTCCACGCTACTGGTAACATACATTACATAAACATAAGATTGGTACAACAATGGCTTCATTCCAAAGTGATGGAACACTCAGTTTGCCATACCTTTTCAAATAGTCTAGTCAGTTTCCTGACTGGAGTCGTTCCTCCATCCCTAAAAAGAGTTGGGGGTAAGTTGTCTTGGCCGGGTGCCTTGTGGCGTTTCAAAACCTGAAGCTTCTTATGGGCCTCTGCTTTGTTAGGTGACCAACTGATGTGCTAAAGTCCTATATATGGGTTCAGTCACAGCTTGAATAGCTCAAAGGTAACGTTTCTGAGGAGATATCAGTTTTCTTGAAGTTGCAGACATGCCTTACTGATGATGATTGCAAACAAGCAAGAAACCTAGGCTCAAGACTTACTGTCAACCACCTGAAATCAAGTTAATATTTACCATTCCGATATTCAGAATAGAGGTTTAGTGAAGTTTACACAGAATAATCACTAATATTGTTTAACATAGCACTTATCAATATTCTTCATATAATATCTCCTCATTAGTACTCTATTATACACAGCAGAACATATACACTCCATTTAATTTAGCCTAATGCGAAATAAAGAGGATTCAAAGGCCATCTAAACAATTAAAGAAATAACCAATTAGGTTTCGTTATTTTTTAAAAGCTACCTTTCTAGCCGGGAGAAATTTGATTGGTTACTTCAGTCGTTGCCAGTGTGGCCTTTAGAGTCATTTGTTAAATGGCAAACAGGTTTAACATCTTCACCTATAAAAGTTTATCTCACAACGAATAAGTAGAACCAACGTAAGTGATAATTAGAATATTTGATTTTACAAAGTTATTAGTTCAGCTACAATTCTTTATCAAACAACATTAGTTCGTATGTGGTTGTTCACTTAAAATGGATTAGTGAACCCAAGAATTTGATATTAAGGATGAATAGTAGGTATCAGTAGAGTTTTTAATGTGGGTTTCATTCTAGTTTGGGCTCGTCAGCTGAATGAACCTGTTATTAACACCAAAACTCTAAGCCAGAACCCATCGATTCAAAATGCAGAGCATTTACTATCCGGCTACTGAGTCACAATAGCCACTCCTTGTGGGTCACATATAGTCTGATGTTGTTATTGCTGGTAGTTTCTCATACTTAAGTTTAATCAATGACAGGAAACTAGAAAGCTATAACACATCAATCTTAGATTATAAAAATGCATTTTAACAAGATTACATTCAGACCAATTAACATCTAATAAGAAACAGTGATCAATTCTACAAACCTTGAAATCATAAAAAGCACGTTGAGTTGATTTGTTTCTTGTACAATAACGTTGAACTTCTGGTGCAGTATAAATAGAACTTCCTAAATTAGCAGTTAGACAAAGTGAACTGGTTGATGGTTTGTATGTAGAAAGTGGTAGATGATTTCCTTGAGAAACTGTATTTTCCCAATAAGCATTATCACTAGATGAATTGACTGTAGATTCCATGTCAAACTTTAGATTATCTCGTCTTTTATTATTATTATTATTATTATTATTATTATCATATATCAACGAGTTCTTTCTGTATTCATCATTTTCAGACAAATTACTAGAAAAAAAAGGAAATAAAACTTAATGAAGTTGATGAGACAAGTTATGTGAATAACAGTCTTTCAGTGAACTGGTAAAACCACATAGGGTCAGTGTAAGATAACAACAAGTGAACTACACAAGGAGACCATCATAATGAATATTATTTCAATATTCAGGAGGGAAAAAAAAGTTTATTTCCATTGATTCTGAAGTATTTGTCAACAAATCTACCACCTTATTGATCATTTTAAATATTTAGGGACGAGGAGTAGGTGAAGAACAATATAGATATCAAAAGTGTAACAATATCAAGGTGATAGGTATAAGAATACCAACAGATTGACAAAAACATATCAATTCGCTGTAAAACAGGAAACTGAAACTGAAAATCAAATAGTTACAACTTATAAATGTTGTAAAAGCATAGATTTCTTGATCCAATAGTCTAATGGATACATGAGTGTTGAGTTCAAGTTTCAGTGAAAATATCATCACTCACTGGAAGGTAGGATGCCTATAGATAAAACTTGGGATTTGTAACCGGAACACAATACAGTTAATATCTTAAGATTTCCTGTTTCATGAACATAGAAGACTAGAATTTTTAATGGAATTCGACCAGTAGCATTGAGTTTTTTAACACTTAGAACGAATCAATTAGAAGTGATTGTATATACTCTGTGTACACAAGGGGTATGTTAAATGTCGTATTTTGTCGTAGTCATGCTTTGGGTTTGGTTTTCTTCATTACTTAAGTATTCTTTTTAAACCTAATGGTTGGTTATTTTTATTGTTCTTACTTTGCTTTCATACCTCTATGCATCTCAGTCCCGATTTTCCGCTTACGGTTATCAACTACATACTATTCCCTATCCATTCTGTAATTACGCAATCTTTTTTCAAGTCTAGGAACAATTTTCTGGTTCGACTTCGAGCATTCACTTTTAAGGAACTAATGTTGACCTACTAGCCAATCATAAACTGACTTATTACAGAGTTGTTGCTCACTGATTTAGAGAGAAGACTTGCAATCAATGAGTCACGGGTTTGAACACCGTTCCAACTACTGAGGTTTAGGCAGCCAGTACGCAAAAAGTTTCTGAGTGTATTCCGACTTTTACGACTATAAATACTACTCTATAGCAACTGAAAAAGATTCATTGAAAATAAAAATTTCTTCGGTAGATGTTGGTTGGATGGAAGCCCCGTATGAGCTAAGTTTCGTGCTTGTTGACACTCGTCAGCAAGGCGTATCTGAAATCTCTACAGAATTGATATGCTGCCTGGGATTCGAACCTGCGTAACTCAGTGATGCAGTGAGAGACGCTACCACTGAGATATTCTTCCCTGTATTACTTTTGTGCTAATTTTCAAGAAATAGGGTAAGTATTGATTGTATATCTCAAGGACTGGTTATTCTGGCAACTAATGTAACTAATTAATTTTGCATCAGTGTTGATCACTGTTCTTATTTGCATTCTATTTAGATACGTGGTCTATTAATTAAGGCATATCTGCAATACCGACTTGCTGACGAGAGGTTACAAGTACGAAACTTTTTGTGGATTGCTTCTAACCAATAAACATTGCATTTTTCAGATAAACTCCATTTTCCGACTACATTATGCTAACATAAATATGTCAAGCCTAAATTACTTAAAAAAATATTTGAATCCATATATACATTTTTCAGCATTGAATACTTACTTTGATGAATACCCAGAAGGATTTTTAAATTGAATTAAACTATCTGAATCCGTACTTTGACTAGACGATGCGGATGATGAAGGAGAAGCTCTTAGTGGTGATGAGCACTGGTCATCATGTGATGAACAATGCGAACTAGTTTTGGATGATGATGATGATGAGATTGATGGCGATAGACATGGTGGAATTATGTGTGAACTGATTTCAATCGGTGGAGGTGTTTTCTTGTTATACAGATGAACTTGATCTACAAATGAAATTGTAGTTAAAAGTCAATACAGTGTCAAAGATAATATAATACTTTTGTATATGTAATCACGGTGTATCTTTTAACATAATTAACTAAAGAGATTAAGAAACTGACTGCTCGATCATGTTGTAATGTGACCACCAAACTAGGCAACTCAACATCGCGATGTATCTTTGATAGATGTTAGTTGGATAGAGGCAATCGGCAAGAAACCCTTCTCTAACAAGGTTTCGTGCTTTTTGGCACTCATCAGTAAGGCGTATCTGCAACCTCTATGGAAATGATGTCTCATATGAGATTCGGACTGGCGTCAGAGATGTCTACCAGTGAGCTGTTTGGCCCATGACTGACCTTTTGTAGGAATGGTTTGGGTATATTGATTAGTCACTGGAGGGTAACCAACTTCATATGGTCTAGTCTTTAGTGCTGACCGAATTCTATTGATCATTTTGATATGTAGTCATGAGGATAGGCGACTAAACATCGCGATGCACTTTCGATAGATGTCAGTTGGATGGACAGCTAGTCAGAGAGGTAAAATAGTAAACAATTAATATGAAGTAAAATGATCTTCGTTTATTCTGATAGAAGTAATCAGCCAGCAGAGATTGGCATTGATAAATATTCTAACGAAACACTACTACTGTTGTTGGTTGAGTATCTCCATCATCTCCGTCTTCTCTACATTCACTTGAAGTCCTGTCTTCGCTGCATTGCCTCTTCTCTCAACTTGTTAGTTTTCACCTATAGATCTGCGAGTTTGTGAGACATTAGATATAGAGCATCAACGGCGAAATCCAAATCTTCTAGGCTCTTCTCATCAGTCCAGCAAGCATATGCCCATCTTCTCGCTCCTCACTGTTGTCTGCTGCATGATCCAGTCCATCACAATCACGAAGATCATCGGTGGTAGTAGGTAGCCCTGTCTTACTCCTCTCTGTCTTCACTTCACTTCAAAGGCGTCACTGAGCTTTCCATTGTGGATCACTTGGCATGTGGCATCATCACATAGCTGTTGAATGAGGTTGATAAAAATTCGTGGTACTCCGTAGTGTTGAAACAGCTGCCTGCCAAATCACTTCTCAGTCGACGCTGTCGAAGGCCTTTTCAAAGTCGATGAAGTTGAGGCAAGGCAAAGAGTTGACTGCCATTCTATGCTCCGTTCTATGATAATCCGTATGGGTTAGCGTTGTGATTTGATCTGCACATGGTTTGTTCTTCCTGAATCCAGCCATCCAGTCTGTTCCGGTCATAATTTTGAATGCAGAGCGTTTTTTAGTCTCTCCAGGATCATGCGGCTTAATATTTTGCTTGGGGTCGACAGCAGCATGATTCCGCGTCAATCTAATTTCCTTAGGATCTATCTATTTCTCAGTATACTGAAATCAAAAGTCCTAAAATGAAAGAGCTTGGTAAAATTTTTTAACAATGAGAAATAGGATACTAGAAAAGAAAGAAAAAGAAATACCTGAATGATTTTCTGATACACTAGGCAATCTTCTCAAGCTAATTGAATTATCTAACAATATTCTTGCTAAACCGAAATCACATATCTTTACAACCAGTTGATGATAACAATTCAATTTTACAGATGTATACAGAGACGAATAGAATTCATTATGATTGTTATCAATTTTCGATAGATAAGAATTGAAATCTGTCACCATTTGATTATTATCATATTTCGGTGAAAATCTATTCATTGTACATGAACAAGGAATATTAGAAATAGAATGTAATGGAGGTCCACAGATGAGAACATTTTCTGGCTATTTAACATGAAAATGAATAAATAAAACAAAAATTAATTGATGACAAAAAGTTACGGCGATGAAAAGGTTACTAAATCGGTTAGTACACTATATATATTATTATTATATTATTATTAATCCCTTGGGTTCCTAGTGGAACATAGGGCTTCACTAGCACGTCTCCAGTGACCTCTGTTCTCTGAGATCGTTTGGACCTGGTCCCACGACAGCCCACAAGCTCTCATTTCCTCCTCGCACGACCTCCTCCATGTCACCCTCGGACGTCCAACTCGTCGCTTCCCATCGGGGTTCCACTCGAGGGCCTGGCGCGTGATGTCCCCAGTCGGCCTTCTCAGTGCATGGCCAATCCATCTCCGCTTCCTCCTGCATATTTGTTGCGTGATATGTTCTTGGTTGGTTCGTTCCCAGAGTTCCTTGTTGCTTATTCTTTCTGGCCATCTGATCTTCAGTAGCGAGCGTAAGCAGTTGTTGATGAATGTGTGTAGTTTATTGGAAATGCCTTTCGTGACGCGCCAAGTCTCTGAGCCATATAGAAGCACTGACTTGACTGAATTGGTGTTGAAAATCCGGATCTTGTTCCTCATGCTGAGTGCAGTGCAGAAGATCTCCACACTGGTTTCAGGCTAATGAACGCCTGTCTTGCTTTTCCAATTCTGACTTTGACGTCTTCGTCCGTCCCGCCTGTACATTATATATATATATATATATATATATATATATATATATATATATATATATATATATATATATATATATATATATATATATATATATATATATATATAAAAGGTAAGGAAACTATGAGTAATTCAGTGAAAATATTCACGCTAGACATCAGTTCCATCGAGGTAACAGATACACCTTACTTACGTTTACCAAAAAGCATGAAAACTAGGCAAAGTAGGCCTTCTTGTCGATTACTTCCATTCAAATAACAAAAAGGCTCTTTTCGACTATATTATTGTTGAAGTTATCCAAATTCAAATGGTGGAGAATATTTGTAGCTCAGGTGAATGGTCTTGGTTGTATTATGTTCTATGAGGTCAGTTGTTTAATCAGGAAGCCTTTATCATCTTTCTAGACGACATCATCAGCATTAACTTCAATATCAAGTGAGCTGTCAATATCTCTTCGTGAGTGATTTGGTAGCTTGCCTTGACGAACTGCTTTCTGATTGGTTATCTCCTTTGATTGCTGTGTCATTGACTGCATAGATTTTCCTGTTGCCTGTTCCTCTGCTTAACCTCTCACCTTTCTGTTGTTTATCATTTTCTTCATTGGTTGATAGATTGGGTCTATGTCTATACATTTGGTGATTGCTAACTGACTTTAATGTCAAGTTTCTAGGAATTCTTTGATATTTTTGTCTTTCCTCTCTCCATCCAAGATTTCTATATTGTTAAAATTGAATTCATGTACATAGTTGTTATCCACGTGCATTGAAATCAGTGATGAAATGTCGTGGCGTTTATGTAGACAAAAACGAAGAGGGCAACCACCCTGTCCAATGTAGTGTTGACTACAGTTGATTTTGTAAATGATATACGGTTTGTCTTCTTTGGTTGTCGCATCCATTGGTCTGCATAACAGTGTTTTGAGGGAATTTGTTGGTTTATGAGCCACACCAATTCCACCTAGTGGTCTGAGTAATATTATCGTGATTCCTGATATATTCTTTATGTAAAGGTAGAATGACGCGTTTGTTGATTTCTATCGATGACTTTCTAGTTGATAGAGTACGCGATAAGCATCTTCTGGTAACGTTTCATGGGTAGCCATTCTTCTTAAGGATAGACCACGTAATTTTCTTCGCTTCTCCGTAAAGTTGTACTGAAGTGTGTTCTCGCTCTTCTGAATAGAGTCTGCACGTAACTAATTTTGTGCGTTGTTGCTACTGTAGTTGAGGATTTGATCAGTGTTTGTTGGCTTCCTGTACACTTGGGTTTCCAGCATTCCGATATTCGTCCTACTGACTAAAACATCCAGGAACGGTAGTTGGTTATTCAACTCCTTGTCCATTATGAATTTGATGTTACAAAGAATATCAGAGGATTCCTAGAAGCTTGGCATTCAGGTCAGTCAGTCAGCAATCACCAAATGTATAGAGACATACACCCAATCTATCAACCAGTGAGAAAAATAATAAACAACAGAAAGGTCAAAGAAACAGCTAACAGGAAAATCTATACAGTCAATGACAAAACAATCAAAGGAGACAATCAATCAGAAACCAGTTCGTCAGGCCAAGCTAATAAATCACTCACAGAGAAATATTGACAGCTCACTTCATACTGAAGTGCTGATGATGTCGTCTAGCAAGGCGATGAAAGCTTCCCGATTAAACAATTCAGCTCAGAGAACACAATACAATCAAGACTATCCAAATTCAGTTATACACATTTTTTACAGGGTAAATATTCAATGTTTTAGATGTCTACATTGGTTTGAACCAAGTGGGGCGATGTAGACTAGCCGATTGAGGTCCATTGGACAAGAGGAACCAGTTGTTGAAGACTCTAGATGATCATATGGCTCAGAACCGATGCCGGTGGTGCAGATGTATACACATATTATCCTCATTTTAACGACGCTATACCGAATCTCACCATTTTCTCATTCTTCCTTTCTCTCTTTTCGTACATTATATTTCCTTTGACTGAGTCTTCTTTTCTTCATCTTCCACTTCACTGCCTTTTTACTTGGTGTACTGAGGATGATTTCAAACTTTTTTATGAAGAACATTTTTTGCAATAATGTTAGGAACAGTCTTCATCAATCACTAGTTATTTTATAACAACCTGAAGAATACAGTCTCATCTTTAAACAGTTCTATATGTTTATACTAATACAATTACTCTTGCAGAGTTAAGCATATCGGTAGATTTAAGCGATTCTTGTTCAAAAGAATTGAACATCTCATCAACAACGAGTAGGCAACCACGACAATATACTTTTTGAAAGCTATCTTCAGAGTAAACGCATGGAATCAGTCCATGAAGCCTGTGACTTTAAGGTGGTATTCACTACTGAGTGAGATAAGCTGGAGAATCCTTGAAAATATGGAAGCACTGGACAACTATTTCATCCTAGAGCGAGACTACACAGCAGCCAGCAGCCATGACTCAACTATGGACCTAACCCAACGTCTTCAGGTTTTGTGATGAGCACGTTACTATTGAGGCATATTTCTTTACTTCTGTCTATTCACGATATAATGCGATTACAATCCAATAACCTCAGGCCAGTATTTTTCCTCACACCTGACTTGGCTGACCTAACACATCACAGCATCTCATTAGAACTTCGGGAAATCCATCTCGAAGACTGTCACTAATTGGCACTGGGCATTAATTAAGATTGAAGGTATAGGGGGATTGATTGATCTCTTTGACTGTTAGTCTGAACCGTGTAAGAGAATGCAGCCTTTCAGGTTGGATCAGATTCGATCTCATTCGCTCAAACGCATCCACAAATTATACTCATTTTAATCATCGTATCTAAGTTCGTTATTGTTTTATCTTGTGTTCCATTCTATTAAAGACTTTCTGCTATCTCAAAGGAGATATCAGTTACTTCGCAGTTGCAGATACGCCTTGCTAACGAGTGGCAATAAGTACGAAACTCGGATCCATGGCTTTTTCCCAATTACCTCCAGTCAACTGTACTTCACCTCATTTGTACAAACTATTTGGATTTACTCATAAATGTAGCAACTCAGTTGTCAATCTTTCTTGGTATAACCCCAAACCTATTTGTAAAACCTTAGCTCCATTATAATCAAGTTTGTGGTCCATTTATATTGAGTGTAATGCAACTGTCGACTTACTTTTCAGCTTCTAAACCTCTGCTGAGGCTTATGGAATCTGCTTTAGAAGCATTTTACTTCAAACACACCGAGATCTACACGAATATTATAATCGATATCTAAATTGTACTGAATTCGCACTGATTATGATAGTCACATTTGACAAGGAAACATTTCAACATGTAAACGAACAGTATTGTTTTCAATTAGACCATTGCAGGGCTTCATCTCATTTACATAGATTTACACATTTATAACGCTTTTGGAACTTTACTGATCCACTCTATAGCTTCAGTTTCTGGAATATCTTGTCTTCTCATGAGTTATTACCGTTCATCGTTAGTCTGTTTTTATTAGATGGGAGTATATTCTTTGTGTTTTAAGAGTTGCCACTTCAAGTTTTCTTCTTCGTCTTTTGTTTTTCCCTTCTAAATTCTCGTGCTGACTGAGTGGACTGCTACAGCTGGGCTTGCGCAAACTCCCTCACCATGCTGATCCGCCACCTACCTCAACGTGCTAAGGGAAGTTGGATTAGGTTGGAAGAGGGTTCAGAGTAGCCAAACCAAACCTAGCACCAGTCGATAAAGTACCTGACTGTTGGCTCCAGCCACTTAGTGAGATGTAGACTATCTGGTTAGGGTCTTCTAAACGACGGAAATCAGTAGTTGAAGACACTTGGTGACATGGCTGAAAATCGGTCACAATGGAGCAAATGTATTCACTCCTTGACATCTTCGAACGCTTGACTATTCACACTAACCTTTATTTTCAAAATGCTTATTCTCTCACACAACTTTGTCTACTTTGATATCACTCTTTTTCTATCCACTTGTTCTCTGTATACTTCTATGAATTGTGGCAACTTGAGCGGATGCAGCAATGTGTGAGATTTTATCTTGATTCTGCCAGTCAGTCAGGCTAGAAACAATACTGATAATCATATAATGGAGATATGCTCTAATAATTACCTGCTGATAGTAGGCACTCCTTATCGAAGTAAGCGAAATACACCTAGTACAATAAGAAGAGGATTTAGAGAGTAAAATGAATTCATTTTAATGCATAGTATTTGCAAATGTATGCAACCTGAGCAAATAAATAAATAATCAGCATATAGAAGTTAGCATATATGTTGTAGGTACTTTCGATATTGGGTTGGCATTCATCATGGACTGACATCAACTGGAGGAACATTAGAAACGTGAGAGCACTGAACAGCTGTTTCGTCCCACTAGTGTGGGACTCCTCGGCAGTACGCACCCACGACCCCACCGGGGATCGAGCCCAGGACCTTCAGATTTCGTGGCTGGCACGTTATCATTTAGCCACTGGGTCGGAATCCAAGGATCCATATTTCCAATTTCTGTCAGTTAACGATATAGTGCGACCATCACGCAAAATCATGGTTGAGGTTTGCAGGGTTACTCCAACTGATGTCAGTCCATGATGAATACCAACTTGAAATTGATAAATTAACAAACTACATTCGCTTTATTATTAACTCGAAGCTTGTTTTAAAAGATTTAGGAACATTTCTGCGCATCAGAGATGAAGTTAATCTAATCGTTTGCCATTGAACTACATTTTTGGTTGCTGAAATTGTTTTGGCACTTATTTCACTAGTTGTCGATTATTTGTCTGCATTTTCTTCCATTTTGGTTTTACCAGCCGTTTCACTCGTCTACTATAAACATATACAAACTTTAGAAGTAGTATTCATCATGGACTGACATCAGTTGGGGAACCATTGAAAATCTGGGAGCACTGGACAGCTGTTTCGTCCTAGTATGGGACTCTTCAGCAGTACGCACCCACGACCCGGTTAGGGGTCAAACTTAGGACCTTCAGGTTCCACGGCGACCCCTAACCGGGTCGTGGGTGCGTACTGCTGAGGAGCCCCATACTAGGACGAAACAGCTGTCCAGTGCTCCCAGATTTTCAATGGTTCCCCAACTGATGTCAGTCCATGATGAATACTACTTCCAAATTAAAAATCCCCATTCATCTCACAAATATACAAACTTCGTTTATTTACTAACTTTGCCTCTTTGTATTATGCAAGTTAAAACTGTCCTTATCTTAAGCTCTGGTTAACTTTGTCTGTGTGAGCACACGTTTGCACTAGCACACCGTTCTCGATATTCCTATCATCCTTTATACTATCATGACTTTTACTATTCTAAAACTATATGGTCTCTTTCTTTGTTATCCTTGACTGGCAAATCACCGGGATCGGTTTATATGCGCAGCGACAAGCTGTTTGTAGCTTTTCGTCTAGCCTAGGGGTTCGTTAATGCAGGAACTAACTGACTGGCAGAATCAAGATAAAATCTCACACATTGCTGCATCCGCTCAAGTTGCCACAATTCATAGAAGTATACAGAGAACAAGTGGATAGAAAAAGAGTGATATCAAAGTAGACAAAGTTGTGTGAGAGAATAAGCATTTTGAAAATAAAGGTTAGTGTGAATAGTCAAGCGTTCGAAGATGTCAAGGAGTGAATACATTTGCTCCATTGTGACCGATTTTCAGCCATGTCACCAAGTGTCTTCAACTACTGATTTCCGTCGTTTAGAATACCCTAACCAGATAGTCTACATCTCACTAAAGTGGCTGGAGCCAACAGTCAGGTAATTTATCGACTGGTGCTAGGTTTGGTTTGGCTACTCTGAACCCTCTTCCAATCTAATCCAACTTCCCTTAGCACGTCGAGGTAGGTGGCGGATCAGCAAGTGCAGTACATGTCCAAGCCATCTCATTTCATCTGTATACTTGAAGTTTGATCAAAAGAAAGATTTTGGCGACGAATATTTTTCAACTTCATTTGAAGCGTAGGCAATGAGTGTCTGGTCAAAAGTTATGAGTGTTTACATCACCATATAAGTGGAAAATATACAGAAAATATAGACAACTGACTTAAGTATCCAGCTATCAAACAATCGGTCCCAGGTTCGAATCTTGTTTCACCTACTTCGGCCTAGATAATCGGGCAATATCATATGACATAATACCCAACCGGTGTAGCTAATAACTTAGTAACTAAGCCTGAACCAGGTTCAGTTACACCAATAATGATAAAAATAGTGATAGTAATATTGATAATAATAATAATAATAATAATAATAATAATAATAATAATGAAGCATACGTGGGGATTATCAACTATAAGGTGATTAAGAAGTTCACTTTCAGTCATTAAACTCAATGCTATTTTTAAAGCTAAAAGTTCACACGAACTGCATTTACCTTGAGATCACGATGAATTACATTTTCAGAATGTAGATATGCAACTCCTGAAGCTATTTGGTCCATCAACCAACGTACAGGAGCACGTTGCATTGTTTGATAAGGTGGAAGTAGAGAAATATTCAACCGATCGATTGAATTAGAGGAAACAGAAAATAAACTGTTCCTATGTTGTAGCCAATCTGCTAGATTATATTGACAAAGTTCTAGTTGGATACAAAGGACAGGTCTTCGAATACACACAGGAGGATGTGACATACTCTAAAAAGGTAACAAGATGATCCATTAAAAGAAGAAATTACCAAATGAAGTACAATTTTAACCGAAAGAGAAATGAGTAACTAGTACAGAATGATAACCAAGATCTGGTTACTAATCGGGTCTCGTCACTCAGTTAGCAAAGCACCACTGGTTTGAGTCCTGCTGCGACACAGATTACATTTTATCTTTAATCATTACTCAGTATGAATAATATGAACCTGGCAAACTATGGCTAACTCAGATAGTCAAACTAAAAATCATAATCGGAAATTAAATTCAGTCCAAGAGACAATAGCCTGAATGTTACTGTCAATTATTAGCTGAGTGAACTCATGACATTGTGATCCAGAACTGATTGAAAAGTTATCGCCCCACTGAAAATGACACACATACAAAATGAAACTAACATAGGTAGGTTAGAATACTACCAACTACATAAGTTTTCAAAGTACACTTGTAGACAACTGTGTGATAACTTTAATGACCAGTGGAATATACATCAGTATGATAACATTCTTCTACTTATAAAATAAGGAATAAATACTGAGTTCATTAAGATAAAAAATGAAGAATGAATCTAGAAAATAGGATTCGAATGAGCAACAAAATAGGACTTGGCATTACTGGTTACAGATACATAAGTTACTACCTAATAAGTAGTAGGAAATTGCACACAGAGAAGATGAGAGAGGAATAATACGGTGACGAAATTCCACTGGAAGATATCAATGATGCAAGAATATAAACAAATAGATATGAAGCGAAATCTGTGTAAGGCTCATCATGATCTAAGAGAACTTGAGTCCTGACAAAGTTATGAAGATGGTTAACAGTTCTCGGTTATAAAACAAAAGACGATCAGTGAAAACTCACTCCTTTCAGCAAAGTTATTCAAAAGCTGTACAACCGGATATAAATATTATGTTTACATAGCAACGGAAAGGAAGTGTTTCATAAGATATTTTTGAACAAAATTCAGTTCTATATTAATGATAAATAGTGGCTAGGAGTGGGATTCAGGACGCGCGTTTCGTCTCGTTTGGGACTTGTCGGCTAGATGTCTCTGCCTCCCAGTGTGTTGTTCCCACCGGGACTCAAACTCAGGACCAGTCGCTTCAAACACCAAAGCGTTATCCACTAAACCACCGAGCCACAATAGCCACTTCTTGTGCGACGGGTATAGTTTTAGTGTCGTTACTTGTACTGTCCCATAGTTGATTGGGCCGAATCAATCCAGCTGACGAGTCCCAAATAGAACGAAACGGGCATCCTGGGTTCCACTGCTAGCCACTATCTATCATTAATATATAATTAAAACACAGGCAATATCAAGGCATCCATACAGGAGCCCGTATGCCAATGGAGATCAATCAATTCGGTCCAATCAACGGCGAGATAATAAAAGCAACAACACTAAAATTCAGTTCTGATCATTAGTCAGGAGTGCGGACAAAGAATCACGTAGTGCTTAAAATTGTAATGAGAAGAAGACTCATCAAGATGGGAGTAATATTAAGTTACGGGGTCGAATGATGTATGGTTAAAAGAGAGTGATGAATGTAACGATAACTCAGAAGGATATGATGTGTGAGATGTAATTCGCTTTTGAGCAAGTGAAAGTGTAGGTGAAATGTTCTTACAAGTCACGTCGATTGAAATCGAGTGACTGGACAAGCTTCTTTTGGATGCAGAGTTCAGGCTTCAAAATATGAATTTTCATGGCTTCCGTAGTTTGAAGAAGTTTTAGGTGTACACATTTCACAAGGTTTGTATGAACTTTATTTATCTATCGAGTGATAAGAATCGACCCAATTTTCTATGATTCGTCTGAGAGGTGCTACCCCTTCTCTTTTGTGGAACCAAACTGTTGTATCCAAACATACGTTTGGTTAATGAACGTTGAGGACGGCCAACATACTGGACTCCACAAGAACAGATGAATTGATAAATACACACAGAGATGACCTTTATGCTGAATTGAAGAGTTGCGTAAGCTGAGGAAATAAATTTGACTTTGGCAGTATAGAAAGTGTTTCTTAATAAGCATGCGACATGATTTGTTACGAATCATGAAGGTAGAACAACTACCCTCTAAACAAAGCACCCTGAATGAATTTAGTTAATCTTTCGATGCATCAGAACTGCAACTGGTGTGGATCCTACAGCATAAAGAACGAATCAGATTTCATTTGGTTTCTAAAGGTATCCAAGAGTAAGTTGTCTATCACACGTCAATCTCGTAAAGACAGACGTTTTAAGCCATACATGTACAAAGATATCTTAGGATCCAATTACTTATCTAATGTGAAGTTTATTGAATTTTTGAGGGGGTTTGAGAAGATTTAGAGATATTTCAAGTAGATATTCATCGTAGACTTTAAATCCCCATAAACCCCCCAAAAAATTCAATTGGACTAGCGTTCATTGGTGACTAGCTTCGAGAGATGATTCCCGAAGTTCCAGTGAGAAGTCATGACTAGTTGGGCGAACCTAGTGGCCGTGAGGAAAAATACTAAACGATGACATTGGGTGGCAGTCACGCTATGTCGTGAACTGACAGAAGTTGGAAATGTGGACCATTGGATTCCAACCCGGTAGCTCAATGGTAACGTGCTGACCACGGAACCTGATGGTAGAGGGTTTGACCCCCTAGCAAGTGGGGTCGTGGGTGCGCACTGCTGAGGAGTCCCATACTAGGACGAAATGGTTGTCCAGTGCTCCCAGGTCTCTGTTGTTCCTCCAACTGATATCAGTCTACGATAAAATACCAACTCAAAGTTTATTACAAGGTAACAGCTGTTAAAGTGACGTAGGATATCTACTACATTATCTGTATCATTGGCAATGATGAAGGCATTATCTACGCAGGGTTTGTGAAGTTCGAAATAATTGATTATCCTTCTGCAGTTCTTTCTCTAGCTTCAACATTAAGAAATGTACAAGCAGAAGCCTCAGCGGTAAACCCAAAGCTATTCCATCTTTTTATGTGTAAATTGTATTGTTCAAGGAAAATCGTAAGTTCAAAGTGTTTCCCAACATTTAGTCTATTAGAATCCATATAGTCACTGAAGTAACATACTGTCTCAGCAAGTCCTTTTAACCACATTACATCACTTCACACAGTAACGTCCATCTTGGTAAGTCTTCTTCTCATTACAATTTTAAATATTATGTAACTCCTTTCTCGATCTCCTGATTTCAATCAAAAATGGATTTGTTGTAATCTGGTTGGTGGGTAGTAGTAGAATCTAGCATGCGCGTTTCATCCCATTTGGGACTCGTCAGCTTGATGTACCTGCACCCCAGTGATTGATGTTGTTCTCACTGACACTCGAACTCAGCACTCATCGTTTCAAACACCACAGCGTTATCCACTAGGTAACTGGGGTACGAGAACCACATCTTGTGCAACAGATATCAAACAAAATGAATTTGGTTTAAAAGTATCTTATAAAAGACTACTTTTTTCTGTTGCTATTTAAATCTAATATTTATATCCGGTTGCACAGCTTGAGAATAGCATTGTTGTAAAGAGTAAATCTTCATTGAATGCCTTTTTGTACGGATTTATAAACTATAGAAATTAGGTCGTCATCATCACCATCAAGATCAACACAGGACCAGGCATTAATGCGTAACGGTTTAAGTTGCCACTCCTCATATCAGCACATCAAGTAAAAAGGTAATAAAATGGAAGGTGAAGAAGGAAAGAAAAACCCGGTCAAAGGAAGTAGAAATATAGAAGAAGGAAGAATGAGATTAAGTATAGCGGTTAAGATGACGATAATGTATGTGTATACATCTGCACCACTGACATCGATTCTGATCCATGTCATCATCTAGAGTCTCTAACCAGTAAATTCTGTTGTCCCGCGGACCACTACATCGCCCTACATGGTACAAAGGAACAGTCAAGGACTTCATGCATTGATGCCATGTCTTAGTCTGGACACCTCGAACCTTTTCTAGCCTGAACTTCCTTCGGTCAACATTGTGCGACGAGGTAGAGGGTGGCTAGGTCGACGTAACATATAATGGAAATAAGGTCTTAGTCTATGGACAATAAAGAGATATTGAACGTATCGTTGAAGCTAATGGAATCATTATGTCAGGAAGGAAATTCAATACTGAAAAGTTTCATCAACACTTTTGTCAAAAAATGTAAGAATACCCCGTGTAAATGTTGATTTGCGAAATAGAGAGGACTTACGATATTATTGGCAGGAATAATTTCCTTCTTGCGAATTAATGCCGTGACATGGGATTGATTACCGGTTTTAGAAATAATTCCACGCTTTTTCTTACGTCTTCCATCGGGTATTCCATTACTTGTTAATTTTTCATCATGAAATTTATCAGGTGAAAGATGTGCATCAAATGAAGTTTTGTCGTGTACATAACCGTTTTTAGACTTTATAGGCTTCCACTTTATTTCATTTGATAAATGAGTTAAGTAGTATCTACAGTTATCAGAAAAAAATATATTAGCTCAAATCATTTTAATGCTTTATGCTTAGTAATGGTTAAGCAGCTTCATTGGGAACATTAGACCTTATTAAGGTGAAAGTAAAGTAAAGCTAACATGCTTTGAATAGATAAAAACATCCACTCTAGATCCCACAGTTAGTGACTACCCATCATCATCATCATCATCATCATCATCATCATTACCAACACAGGACCAGGCATTACTGAGTAACGGTCCGAGTTGCCACACTTCACGTCAGTTCATCAAGTAGAAAAGTAGTGAGGTGAAGGATGAAGATAAGTGAATGCAGTCAAAAGAAATATAAAGTACGAGAAGAAAGGAAAGAGGAGTGACAAAATGGTGAAATTCAGTATAGCGTTGTTAAGATGAGGATGATGTGTGTATACATCTGCGCCACTGACATCGGTTCTCAGCCACATCACCTAGGGTCTCCGACCACTGGTTCCTCTTGTCCCGCCAACCCCAACCACCTAGTAGCCTGCATCGTCCTACATGGCTTAAATCAACAGTCAGAGAATTCATACATTGGTGCCATGTTTTAGTCTGGCCACCTCGGGCTTTTTTCCAGCCTAGACCCACCTCAGCCAACATTGTGTGACAAGGCAATCGGTGACTAGACATACGTAGTACGTGTCCCAACCATCTCAGTCGATGAAGGTTCACAACCTCGTCAACCGACTTACCTCTTCTCCCCAAAACTCTACACCTGACTTCTGCGTTACTCACATGGTGACACCACGGAATACGTCCTACACTACGAAGGCAACGGTGGTCAAACACCTGAAGCCTTTTTATGTCTTCCACTTTCAATGGCCATGTTTCACAGCCATACAGTAGAACAGAGCGGACTGCTGTGCAGTACATGTAACCCTTAATAGACAAACGAATATCACGGCGGCGCCATAGGTGGCGCAAATTGGCAAAAGCCAATCGAGCCTTTTGTATCCGTGCAGAAATCTCATCGGCAACTAACCCACCAGGGCTGATCCTACTTCCCAGGTAAGTGAAGTGGTCAACACACTCAACCACTTCACTCTCTATTGTTAGCCGCGGTACCGCTGAAGACCAGTCCTGGAGCAAAAATTTGCATTTGGGTGGTGAAAATCGCATCCCAAACATTCTCAAATTCCCACTCAAAGTGTTCAGAAGACTCTACATCTCATTAGTCAGCGTCTTCACCTAACAGGACTATGTCATCTGCATATTCTAGATCTAAAGAAAATTCATCTGTGATTGGGTCAACGTCTGAGTAATTAGGTGACGAGAATATGATAAAATTAAATAAGGATGGAGATAGTGGGCATCCTTGATGGACACCACTCGATGAGTATAGCTCCCTTGACCACTCGCCATAGGCTCTAACATGTCCACAAGTGTTCGAGTAGAGAGCTTTCAATAAGGTGATGTACTTACTAGGCACGCCTTTCAGTGACAGACATTGCCATAAGACTTCTCGATCAACGGAGTGACTACCCATAATATATCATTTAAAAAAAAAAGAGGAATATGTAGCAAAAACGTTTGCCTATGTTTCAGTAGAAGTCAATAAATACAGTTCGATAAAGAGGATAACCGAAAATCATGAAGTTTATGTGATGAAAGTAACCCAAAATCTTTTAACCAATACACTAACTTCGCTTAATTCACATAAATTATCAAATTATACGGTGCATACATACCTCTAAACTGTTTCTCACTCTTACTAAAATGGAGAATAATTCAGTGAGAACCTTTTTTTTTAATTATAGAGTGCCAAATTCACTAATACTGTAATTTCTTCTATTCTCGAGATAACCAGCCACAGTAAACAAGTAATTACCGAAACTAAATGTCGCTGGTTGGTCAATTATTTAGAACAGAATAGCAGACTATTCAACAGTGATTACTATAAAAGTTTCTAAGATGAAAGACAGTAATGTAAAGGATAAGTGTAGAGTTTTAGGTAAAAGAGGTAAGTCGGCTGATAATGGTGTAAACCACTGACTGTTTGTTCTTCATCTTGCATCTTACTATGATGATGGGAGGTGTAGCGACTAGAACGATTACGCCATCTTGCCAGGATGTATGTTGAAACTGACTGACCCATTCACTCACTTAAAGCGTCTCTTCAACTTACCAAAATTACCGTCAAAAAGAAATCTCTTTATCTTATAACCACGTAAGCATACATAAACACACTCATGAACCACATTATTCATCATACGATGTTTCACTAGAAGTGACTATTATAACTTTAAAAAAGCTGTGGAGGTTTGTGCATTAGGTAATTATCCACACCAGTAGTACATGAGACAGTGATACCAGCCGGTTGCCCAGATCCCGGTAGGGTAAATAGGGTCCGGAACCCTTCACTCATTGGTTGAAACTTCGGTGCCTATAACAATTATCTGAAGATGCAGGATATGAAAACGACGACTGCCAAGTAGAGAGAGAGAGAGAGAGAGTTGCTGAAAGTCGTCAGCTGGTTAAAACCAAGTTTCAAAGACACAAAACGAACTACGTACACCGAAATTTTGCAAGCCCATCTTGTAGTTAGACGGAATTTCCTACCGTTGTCAAAGATGATTCACAAACGCACTTACTATTTTACACTGCTATAGGAACATAGAAATTTTGAAGGGATTTTCAGTTCTTAACCAACAAGAGTAAGTGAAATCATGACTGAGTGACTGATTGATAGAATCAACGTAGAATCTCGCACATACCTGCATCCGCTCAAGTTGCCACACTTCACAGTAGTATACAAAAAAAAGGTGCATAGAATAAGAGTGGTATCAAAGTAGCCACAGTTGTGTGAAAGAATAAGCAATCTGAAGACAAAGGTTAGTGTGAATATCCAGGCTTTAGATGTCAAAAAGTGAATACATCTGCACCATCGTGATCGATTTACAGCCATGTCACCAAGTGTCCTCAACTCCTGATTCCTTTGTCTCGGGGACCCCAACCAAGCAGTCTACATCTCCCCACACCACTCAAGCCAGCAGTCAGGGACTTCATCAACTGATGCTAGGTCATGGTTTGAGTACCCTGAACCCTTTTCCATCCTAATCTAACTTCCCTTAGCATAGCACATCGAAGTAAGCGACGAGTGAGCATGCGCAACACATGTCTAAGTCACTTCAATCGATGGAGGTTTACTTCATCAACCGACTTGTCTGTCTTATTCAGTACCCTTCGCCTGACCTCAATATAGCTCATACGGTGGTTCCACCAAACGCGAGCAATGCTACGAAGACACCTGTGACTAAAACCGTGTAATCGCTTCGTGTCTTTTAACAATATCTCGCAGCTGTATCACAGGACAGAACAGACTGCAGCACAGTATACTTGTCCTTTGATTGATAGTCAGATATCTCACTGGTACCACAGATAACGCAAGCTAGCGAATGGCAAACGGGCTTTCAGTATCCGATTAGTACAAGTGTAAAACTTGGGCACTGTGGTAGAATTTAATTCCATATTAGATGTGTTTATTTGATATAAAGTGCACAGTAATACAGTATTATTTACTTGATTACGTTTCGAGCATAAATTATTGCTCATAATCACATCAATGTAATCACACTTCTTTCGATATCTGATTTTATAGTCCTGTCACCTGATTTTTCTGTATTTTTGATCCGATAGAACCAATTAGGCAAAATAATATAAATTTTGAGGGGTTGTGGAGATTTGGAAATATTTCAAGTTGTTATTCATCGAAGACTGACATCAGTTGGAGGAACAAAGGAAACCTGGGAGCACTGGACAGCTGTTTCGTCCTAGTATGGGACTCCTCAGCAGTGCGCACCCACGACCCCACCAGCAGGGATCGAACCCGCGACCTTCAGGTTCCGCGACCAGCGCGTTACCATTGAGCCACTGGGTCAGAATCCAATGCTCCATATTTCCAACTTCTGTTAGCTCACGATATAGCGCAAACCGCCACCCAATGTCATCGTTGAGTATCTGTCCTCACGGCCATCAGGCTTTGACTCCACCGGTCACGACTTGTCATTGGAACTTCGGGAATACTTCTCGAAGCTAGTCACCAACGAGCACTAGTTCAATTAAATTTTGAGGGGGTTGTGGAGATTTGGAAATATTTCAAGTTGTTATTCATCGAAGACTGACATCAGTTGGAGGAACAAAGGAAACCTGGGAGCACTGGACAGCTGTTTCGTCCTAGTATGGGACTCCTCAGCAGTGCGCACCCACGACCCCACCAGCAGGGATCGAACCCGCGACCTTCAGGTTCCGCGACCAGCGCGTTACCATTGAGCCACTGGGTCAGAATCCAATGCTCCATATTTCCAACTTCTGTTAGCTCACGATATAGCGCAAACCGCCACCCAATGTCATCGTTGAGTATTTGTCCTCACGGCCATCAGGCTTTGACTCCACCGGTCACGACTTGTCATTGGAACTTCGGGAATACTTCTCGAAGCTAGTCACCAACGAGCACTAGTTCAATTAAATTTTGAGGGGGTTGTGGAGATTTGGAAATATTTCAAGTTGTTATTCATCGAAGACTGACAAGTCGTGACCGGTGGAGTCAAAGCCTGATGGCCGTGAGGACAGATACTCAACGATGACATTGGGTGGCGGTTTGCGCTATATCGTGAGCTAACAGAAGTTGGAAATATGGAGCATTGGATTCTGACCCAGTGGCTCAATGGTAACGCGCTGGTCGCGGAACCTGAAGGTCGCGGGTTCGATCCCTGCTGGTGGGGTCGTGGGTGCGCACTGCTGAGGAGTCCCATACTAGGACGAAACAGCTGTCCAGTGCTCCCAGGTTTCCTTTGTTCCTCCAACTGATGTCAGTCTTCGATGAATAACAACTTGAAAAATAATATAATCTACCAAATTCCATGTAATGACTGTGAGATCAAATACATAGGTCAAACTAGCCGGTCGGGGTCAGTTAGATTAGCAGAACATAGGAATTTAGCTAAACATAGAACGACAGACCTCAATAAGATCAATAATCTAGAAAAACACTCCGCCATTGCATTACATTCATTAACACACAACCACACAATAGGGTGGGACAAAACCACTGTACTTAAGTCTAATATAGTTAGGTGGAGAGAGAGATTAATTACTGAATCTGCGTTCATCGAATCCATACCCAACACATAATAGGAATGACGCAACACCTATCCAGAGATATGGAAAACTTTACTACCAATCAAAAAACAAAGAGAGATCAGGTGACAGGACTATAAAATCAGATATCGAAAGAAGTGTGATTACATTGATATGATTATGAGCAATAATTTATGCTCGAAATGTAATCAAGTAAATAATACTGTATCACTGTGCGCTATATATCAAATAAACAAATCTAATATGGAATTTCTGTATCCGAGCTGAGATTGCGTCAGCAACCAGACCATTCGGGTTGATGCAACTCCCGAAGTAAGTGAAGTGGTATATACATTCCACCACTTTACTTACTCCTTATCCATCCTCATATGGGGATAGAAAGACTAGTCCGACACCAGAAGACGATGGGATTGAAAGTATATTTACTTCAACCAAACCGTAATAGCTGAAAACTCAGTCGTCTATATATCCTTAGATGGCCTTGAACAGTAAGAACAAAATAACACATTAAAAGTGTAAAATGGACAAACCAGCGTTTAGTTTCCTCAACTGCGGTAACAATAAGTAACAGAATGGTGCAAAAGGGGAGCGGAAATAAGATTTAAATTTTACAACGATAATATAAACATATTATAAGTTAGTTCTTTTTTAGGAATAGGCCTTTGACAGCGTCGACTGAGAGGTAATTTGGAAACTGCTTCAATACTACGGAATACCGCAAACCTTTATCAATCTCATTCAACAACTATATGAAGATGCCACATGCCAAGCAATTCACAATGGGAAGGTCAGCTCAGTGATGCCTTTGAAGTGAAGACAGTAATGAAACAAGGTTGCCTACTATCACCCATGATATACTTGATTGCGGTCGACTGGATCATGCAACAAACAGTGAGGAGCGAGAAGAGGGGGATACACTGGACCGCGGAAAAGAACCTAGAAGATCTGGATTTCGCCGATGACTTGTGTCTGATGTCACACAAACTTGAAGATGTACAGGCGAAAACTAACAAGTTGACAGAAGAGGCAGCGCAGTTAAGACGGGACTTCAAGTGAATATAGAGAAGACAGAGGTGATATAGATACCCAACCAACAACAACAACAAACTCCAATCACCATCAACGGAAGAAACTTAAAGAAAGTAACCTCCTTCACCTATCTAGGAAGCACTGTTTCAACTACAGGTGGCACAGACGAGGATGTCAAAGTCAGAATCGGAAAAGCAAGACAGGAGTTCATTAGCCTGAAACCAGTGTGGAGATCATCTGCACTGCACTCAGCATGTGGAACAAGATCCGGATTTTCAACACCAATGTCAAGTCAGTGCTCCTGTATGGTTCAGAGACTTGGCGCGTCACGAAAGGCATTTCCAATAAACTACACACATTCATCAACAACTGCTTACGCTCGCTACTGAAGATCAGATGGCCAGAAAGAATAAGCAACAAGGAGCTCTGGGAACGAACCAACCAAGAACCTATCACGCAACAAATATGCAGGAGGAAGCGGAGATAGATTGGCCATGCACTGAGAAGGCCGACTGGGGACATCACGCGCCAGGCCCTCGAGTGGAACCCGATGGGAAGCGACGAGTTGGACGTCCGAGGGTGACATGGAGGAGATCGTGCGAGGAGGAAATGAGAGCTTGTGGGCTGTCGTGGAGCCAGGTTCAAAAGATTTCAGAGAACAGAGTTCACTGGAGACGTGCTAGTGAAGCCCTATGTTCCATTAGGAACCCAAGGGACTAATAATAATAAAATAATAACATATTTTATTATTATTTATCCCTTGGGTTCCTAGTGGAACATACCGCTTCAGTAGCACGCCTCCATTCCACTCTCTTCTCTGCAGTCTTTTCAACCTGACTCCACGACAGCCCTGAAGCTTTCATTTCTTCCTCACATGATCTCCTCCATGTCACCGTCACCTCGGACGCCCAACTCGTCGTTTCCTATTTGGGTTCCACTCGAGCGCCTGACGGGTGATGTCCCCAAACGGTCTTTTCAGTCTATGGCCAATTCAATTCATCTCCACTTTATTCTGCACACGTTTGGGCGATATGTTCTTGGTTCGTTGCTAGGCCAGAGTTCCTTGTTGTTTACTCTTTGTAGCCATTTGATCTTCAGTATCAAGCGCAGGCAGCAGCTGTTAATGTATGTCTGTAGTTTGTTGGAAATAAATGCCTTTCGTAACGCGTCAAGTCTGTGAACCACATAGAAGAACTGACTTGACACCAGTCCCTAACACATTATCTCCAAATGATACGTTAAAATGATGTCTTACACTAAATTATCAAGGGGAATTAGCAGGAAGGCAATCAATAATTCGGACGAGTTTAATACAGTAATAAATCAGTGAGGCATTTGTAATAATAAGGTAGGCAAAAGAGAAGTAACAATCCAGGGAGTATTTAAAACATTTTAGAAGTAAACATCAACAAATTTCGGTAGAATACTTACTTAGAATATTGGACTGAACTGAAATCACCATTAGGCATCTGTAATAGGCAGAAAAATGGTTAGGTATTTAACTGATATTCAAATATGAGATAAGCAATGACAAATGCAGTTGTTTAATCAGGCATGTTTGTCTCAATTAACACACTTTTTTCTGATTGTAGCTTAGACGAATAAACGTGTACACATTGTACTTTTCAAACACTTTATGTAATCAAACTATCTTCCTCACATATATGTATAAAATGATGCATGTATTTCAATGAAAAAGAATGATACGTCTCTACCTACAGGATATCACCTCGTACGCCTTAATCGTACATACAATAAACTCTCAAAAAGGTTGTAAACCATCTAATCATAGACAGAAAGAAATAGATTGATTGTAAAGTAATGCATTAAACCACACATAGTCAAGTCAAGATAATATCAACCATAAACTTTGAAAAGAATACTGAATACATTAACAAGTAGTTGATTAAGAGTTGTTAGTATTACCCTCATTATGTTTTTCACAGTCTCTTCCATATTAGTTAGACTTTGGTAGGGAGTGATGGTTTCTTATCCATCTTGTGGTTGATAGGTGGACAACTTGCAACTGGTTTTTCCAGTAGTTTATCGTTGACCTACTCTTTTCTTCGATAATTTCGTCAACAAATACCTTTTTCAAGTAAGCCTATTTAACACATTTAAACAGTTTTCGAATATTATCTGTCTTCAATGTATTCGTAATCTAATTCTTTTTCATCAATCATTACACAGTACAGTTTATGAAAAGATTCTTAGGTTATGTACATTTCGATTCTGATTATGTTCATGAATAGATGAAATTGGTATTCATAAAAATTTCCGAGATCTTTTTGCTTATAATCACCTTGACATATTGATTAAGGAATGATTGTATGAATATTTTTATAGTATACTAAACCTTAAAATAATCCTTTGATGCTGTAAACCTTGGACTAAAAATGAAGACGTTTTCAATTATTGATTATCAGCATTCAGGAGCAGTCACCTAAGACCAAAGTTCAAACGAGTAATTCAAAAAAGAGACAACCATCAATATCACCATAGGAACAGGCACTGAGAAAGATATTTTTTTTAAAAACGCATTCAACCACCTGCACATTGGTGCAGAAGGCAATAAGCCACACCTATTATGTGACTGCTAATCACACTACCTGGCTACCCAAACTTCAATAGATGAAGCCTATCAAACAACAAAGTACTTAGATGAAAGAAAACAAATAAAGATTTGGCCAAAAGCAGTAGAAAGTAACTAAAGAGAAGGAGGGGGATAAGAAAATACTGAATTCAGCATGACAATTAAGATGATGTGTAGATACATCTGTGTGAGTAACATCGATTTTGGTCCAAGTCTCCAACCACTGGTTTTTATTGTCACTTGGAGCCCCCAAATGGGAAGCTTGCATTTCCTAACGTGGCTCAAACCAACAATCGAAGATGGCACGCAATGGTGTCATGCTTTAGTCTGTCTACGTCTAACCTTTCTCCAGCCTAAATCTCCTTAAGATAGCTGATCAAACTTCCCAGGTAAGGGAAGTGGTCAATCGCTCATTAATTCCACTCCCTATGATTACACAGGGCATCAATGAAGGCCAGTTCTGGAGAAACACTGCATTTGGCTGGCGAGAAACGAACATTAAGCATTCGTAAATTTCTACGTAAGGTGTCGAGAAGCCTCTACTTCTTTCAGCGTCTTCATCTAGCAGGAGTAAGTCATATGTATACTCTAGATCTACAAAAGGTTGTCCTGTGATAAGATCAACCCCTATGAAGTCAAACGACGACAGGAAGATCTTCATAACTACCTTTATGATGAAGTTGAATAAGGATGGAGATAGCGGACATCATCGATGGACACCACTCGACGCATACAACTCACCTGATAACTCACCAAAGGCTGTAACACGATCGTGCGTCTTTGAGAACAGAGTCTCAACAAAGTTGAGTACTTAATCAACACTCCTTCCAGTGAGACACCAGCAGAAGACCTTTCGATCGACAGAGTCGAACGCTGCCTTCACACCATGAAATACAGTTAGTATTGGACATCAGTATGTTTTTGTTTCAGAACCTGACAGAGAGTGAATAACTGGTTGATACACCCACGACAAAGTCTGAAGACTCCTATTTGCTGTTCTCCAGATCCATTTAGACGTCTAGTGATTATCGAGCCTACAATCTTGTTAGGCTGATTACCCTGTAGTTATCATAAAAGGCATTTAACCTTTTTTGAAGACCGGGACAGTCAGTGATTGAGCTGTCAGAGGGGATCACATCTGACTCGTACACACTAACTTACACTTCAGTTAACTTGACTAAAAATCTCGACCACCATCCTTAAGTACCTCTGGCTCTTCTATTTTCCTCATTTCAGGCTACCTACAGCTTTCTTGACTTCTGCACATGTTGACGGTTCTACCTAGATGTTCTATCCAGGCTCCGACCGGATAGCTGGAAATGCAATAGTAGATGGAGGCCAGTTAAATTCTTTCTGAAAGTTTTTGGCCCATTGTTCTAGTCGTCTCCCCTGCTAGCGAATCACAAACCCATCCTTCTCCGTTATAGTCTCACTAACCGTTAACTTTCCGCCCGTTTCTTTAATAATTCTAAATAATCGTCCGCAGTTACCTATCGCTGCTGCCTTTTCCATCTCTTTAACCTTCACTGACCACCGCTGTTTGCTGTCATTGCGTAGACTTTTCGTCAGCCTACATTTGAGTTGCTACTGCTCCTCATTGTGCTCACAGCCTGCAGGGATGCATTCGTATGCATCCATTAATTCAGAGGAAGCTGATGAGATCCACTAGGGCCTTTTTAACCTCTCTGAGAATTAGCTACGGTGTTTAGAGCTATTTTGCAGCCAATTTCTTCGGGATGAGAGATGTTGTTCAGTTTGGACAACTGCTTAGTTAGTTTTCAAGGAAAGCGGCCTCTGTGCTCTCATTGTCAAGCTGCACTCGCAATGGTCTTAATGGGATGATTTGTCTACGTCCATTTACGTACAAACATACACGTGCTCGAACTAACGTGTGGTCGCAGTTCAAATATGTACTTTAGAAGAGGCGGTAATCTCCCACTGACCCTCTCCAGCGATAAATGACAGAAATATGGTCTATGTATCACTGCCCATTTAAAGTCGGTGGACATCACATCAGACAATGTCTCTATGTTTGGAGTTTGTACTGGCCAGAAATACATGGTTATCTGACCACAATGGTAGCAGGTGATCACCACTATCTGTTCGTTCGGTTGGGGTTCCAAAAATGTCACCTAAGTGCCTTCCTGCGTGAATTAGCTTACTCACTCGTGCATTGAAATCACTTGTGGCGACAACCACATCTGTACGTTTGACTTTTAGTAGGAGTTTAGAACGTTTTCAGTAGAACTCACTCTTTACTTCTTTCGAACTAAGCTCAGTGGATGAGATTACAAAGATATAATGGCGAGTTTCACTACCCTTTTTCATTTTCATTATGCCGTTCTGTCAAATAGGTCACAGGTGACTCTTAACTCGGGTCTAGTCGAGTAGCGCGATTTCTCCTTTAGCCGTTTCTGCAAGTTTGCCACAAACAGCAGTTGCATCTGCAAAAAAGCGGATGGTGAACTTTACGGATTAACATAGAGACCGCCTGAGGTTAGGTGAGTAATGCACTTGGCTACTGTATGTGTGCCTCACAAACACAGAATACATTCATGGGCCGAAATGCCATTTTAGCTAGCAAAACTTGCTGATCGATTTGACGGAGGGTGTGGAAATTGTAGGCTCCAATATGTCGTTTGAACAGCGGTTTCAAAATACCAGTGAAGTTGTTCCGTGAACTCAGATAGCCGATAAGAGCTGGAAAAACAGACGTTGATACAGGATTATTAACCAAGAGATATGAAGGAATATTAGAGGTTAAGGATGTGAAAAATAGACAGTGATATGAGGGAACTTGAGGGCGGATAGAGTTGTGAGGGGAGTTGACACTTCCCGACTACCTACACTGCGGAAGGCTAGTTTTTCTTGCGGTACGTATGGTACGTGCGTGGCCGTAAAGCCTAAGGGATATCTGCTTAAACCGGTCACAGGGGAGGGTTTTAGAAGTTTGAGATCTACTTTTTTCAATCTTGAGCTCGACTATGAATACAGGTCGATGAAGATTTACAACCTCGTAAACTGACTTACCTCTTCTCCCTAAACATCTACACCTGACTTCTGCGTTACTCACATGGTGATACCACGGAATATGGTCTACACTACGAAGGTAACGGTGGTCAAACACCTAAAGCCAGCCTTCTCATGTCTTCCACCTTCAATGGCCATGTTTCACAGCCATACAGTAGAACGGAGAGGACTGCTGTGCAGTACACGTGACCCTTAATAGACAATCAGATATCACGGCGGCACCACAGGTGGCGTAAGTTGGCAAAAGCCAGCCGGGCCCTTTGTATTCGTGCATAGATTTCATCGGCTACTGACCCACCAGGGCTGATCCTACTTCCCAGGTAAGTGAAGTGGTCGACACACTCAATCACTACACTCTCTATTGTTAGCCATGGCACCGTTGAAGACCAATCGTGGAGCAACAATTTGCATTTGGGTGATGAGAAACGCATCTCAAACATTCTCAAACTCCCAATCAAAGTATTCAGAAGACTCTGCATCTCATGAGTCAGCGTCTTCACCTAAAAGGACTATGTTATCTGCATATTCTAGGTCTAATGAAAATCCTCCTGCGATTAGCTCAACCTCTGTGTAACCTGGTGGCGAGAGGGAGACCTCCATGAAAATATCTATCATGAAATTGAATAAGAATGGAGAGACTGGGCAGCCTTGACAGACACCACTCGATGAGTACAGCTCACCTGACATCTCACCATAGGCTCTAACACGCCCACAAGTGTTCGAGTAGAGAGCCTTCAATAAGGTGATGTACTTACTCAGCACGCCTTTCACTGACAGACACATTGCCATAAGACTTCTCGGCCAACAAAGTCGAATGTCGCCTTCAGGTCGAGAAATACAGCTGGTGTCGAGCGTGTCTGTGTTCCAAAACCTGGAACAGTGTGAGTATTTGGTCGATACACCCGCGGCCAGATCTAAAACCCGTCTACCTGGTTTTCTCGGGCTTGCTGTTCACGAGCTCCACTCAGGCGCCGAAGAATTATAGAACCTAGAAACTTGGACACCATGTTCGTCAGGCTAATGACTCTGTGGTTATCACAAGAGGACTTCTCGCCTTTCTTGAAGACTGGAATAATCAGTGATTTAGACCAGTCAGAGGGGATCGTATTTGATTCCCATATACTGGTTAACACTTCCGTTAACATGACTAAGAGCACCTTAACACCATCCTTTTGAACCTCAGGAGTTAATCCGTCTGATCCTGCCGCCCCTCTTCGTTTCAGGTTACCTACCGCCTTCACGACTTCTGCTAGTGTTAGGAGGCTATCTCAATGTTCCATTCAGGGTCCGACTAAATAGCAGGCAACGCAAAGGTAGCTAGAGGCCAGTAAAACTGCTTCTCGAAGTGTCCTGGCCATCGTTCCAGTCGTCTCCCCTGTGAGTGAATTGCAGATCCACTATACCCTCACTAACCGCAGTTGACCTCCCCTCACCCCCCCCCCCCGAGTTTCCCTAATAAGTCTAAATAACTGTCTACTGTTACTAGTCGCCGATGCCTTTTCCATCTCTTTAGCCTTCGCTGACCACCACTGTTCACGGTCGTTGTGTAGACTTTTCTCAATCTACTTTCAAGTTGCGCTCGCTCATCATTGTACTCAGAGCCTGCAGGCAGGGATGCCTTCACGTGCATCCATTAGTTCGGAAGAAGCAGCTGAAATCCACTGGCTCTTTCTAGCCACTCTTTCGGAGTCACCTACAGTCTTCAGCGCTGCTTTTACACCAGACTGGAGATGGTACCAAGATTCTTCTGTTCCGACAACTGCCTAGCTAACTTCTCACTCAACACGGCTTTGGTGCTTCCGTTGTCCAGCAGCACTCGTAGTGGTTTTGTTGCCAAAGTTTTCTTACCTTTATCGAGACGCAGGCATGTGTGTGCTCGGAACAACGCGTGGTCACTATCCAAAACACGTACTCTAGAAGGAGCCGCAGTCTTCCACAGATCCTCTCCAGAGATGACTAATAGCAATGTGGCCTATGTGTCCATTGCTGAGTTGAGCTCAGTCGACGCCACGTCAGACAGTTTCGATCTTTATGTCTGAAATTTGTGCCAGCTAAAAATAGGCAGTTATCTGAGCACAGCTGTAGTAGGCGATCACCGTTACCTGTACGTTCAGCCAGAACTCCGAAAGTGCCACCTAAGTACCTTTCTGCCTCACTCAGTCTACCCACCTGTGCATTGAAGTCACTTGCAACAACAACCACGTCCGAACGTTTGGCTTTTGAGAGGAGGCTAGACAGTTTATGGTAGAACTCGTCCTTCACTTCATCCAACTACAGTCAGTGGGTGCGAAAGTAGAGATTACAAAGAGACAACGGCGAGTCTCACTATTCCTCTTAGTTCTCACTGTGCCGTTCAATCGGATAGCGCAGAGGTGACTATCAACTGGGATCCAGTCTACTAGTGAGTTTTCTGCCCTAGTGCTAATGCTATACCTACACCTGCAAGACCACGAGAGGTAACCACCGAGTCTCCAGAAACTCGAAGGGTGAATTTCACGGACTCACCAGATTGGCCAGGAGAGGAGGTCAGGTGAATAACCTCATTTGGGTTCTGTATGCGTGTCTCACAAACACAGCACACAGCGATGCCCCGAGTTGCTAGAGTCTTTACCAACGAAGCCTGTTGACCAATTTGATGGAAGACATTCAAGGCTCCAATAGGTAATTTGGAGCGTGGTTTAAGGAGACCAAGGATGATGTTCTGTGGACTCACATCGTTGTCGAAGGCTGCAGAGCTAGGAGAAATTGAAGATGATGTAGTATCGTTGGTTGAGAGACGTGAAGGAAGATTAGAAGGTAATGATGGGGAGGTGGATAGCAGTCTGAGGAAACTTGAGTGCTGATAGAGTTGTGAGGGTGGTTGACACTTCCCGGCTGCCAGCACCGTGGAAGGCTATTTCTTCTTAATGTACCTGAAAGAGATTTGTGTGACCACAGAGCCCATCGGACATCTGCTTGAGGCCTGTCACACTCAGCCTTTTGTGTATGATTATTCTGAACTTTTGTTGTTTTGGGGTTGGGTGGTCGAAAAGAAACGACAAATGAACCAACACCGCCGGCCCGGCAGACCACGGGGCAAGCTGTAGTGGATGGATTTCTGATTTCTTCAGGTCATGATATATAGAAGCGGTGAGTGAAAGGACGGAATGGACGAAAACAGCAAATTTTAGGCACCATGACAATGAGAAAGATGAGTTCCACAGAAATTTATTAGCACCCGTTCAAAAAGCCAAAGGTCAAAAACTAGTTATCACAAGTAATTTCAAATGGGTAAATGGGGTGGACTAACTTATGGAAATAGATTCCCACTTATTTTTACCCCAAACTAACTGTTGGTACAGAAAGTTAGACACTTAAGTTTGCTATCTGAAACTCTTCAAGGAAGTAGATGTTAACAAGTAGAAACGTTAATCAATAAATTACACAAATTACAGATATGTAGTTGGACAGACTATTTACCTGTGACTGACGCTTCTTTTCACAAACTCTCATACTTACCTGTTTTCTTTGGCTCTTCTGTTAAAGATGACAACTTTTAACAATGTCACATCATAAAATCATACTATCAAGACAACAACTATTCTTGTATGCTTCCAGCTTTAAGTAAACCAAAAGACAGGAAGCAGAAAGACATAAATAAAACACCTTCGAACATCCCGTACTGTTCAAACATAATAGGAAGCAGTAACCTTACAATCACTACATCAACTGATGACAGTTACACAGAAATATTACCATATCAAGGATTATTAAGTTAAGTATGAAAAGCTTACCTCATCTTGGTCTTCAACAGACACCCATTCGTAATCCAACCAAGAAGTTACATAGTTGACTACATTAACATGTTTAAGTCGGGACATTGTAAGAACTTCCGACCTAGCAAGCTCCTAGACAATGAGAAATGAACTGGTAAATAAAACTAGTTACGTTGTAGCTAGCTAGATGGTAGTTTACCAATTTAGACTGCACAGACAACTAATCACTTCAGTGGTTATACCCTCGACTGACATGAATAAAATGCAGAAAAACGTTATAACATTTAAGAATCATAGAATAGCTTCTTTATTATGTTAGGTAGTTGGTAGCCGTACACTTACTATATGACGATGAGATATGGTCATCGACGGCAAAATAAATCATGTTATGAGTTTTCGATCATAGGTCTATTTGTAGTACTGTCCAAATGTGATAGTTTTATAATCAGAAATGTGAAAATTAAAACTGGATTTCGACGCAAAGCAAAATAGTTTAGCAAATGAATTTGTGAACACTTACTGAATGAGGTGATACATGCCAAACAAAGATCATACATCACATTGTCTGGTGGAGTAAGATTATATTGCAGTTTTACTAAAAGTAGTCACTATGATAGGATTTTATTTCACGAAGTTACTGATTGCTGATACAAGAGCGACAAACCAATGAAGAATCTTGTTTAAAAGTACGATGATTCAAACTGCGAACTCTACGACAATATATGAATCGAACATGGTTGGTTAGAGAGAATGGTGTTAGACAAGAGAGATGAGAGAAATGGAAATAATTGGTGAAAATATTCGAAATTTTGGCTTTCGGTTTGAAGGGATGTCTAGTCGCCAACCAATGATTTTTGATATACAGAGGAATATGTATGGCTGAGAACAACAAAGATTTCATCGATTGATGCTGTCTTGGTTTGATCAACGTTGGTTTTTTCCCGACAGATCGACCAACATAAAACATATCACAAACGTGCATCATTTCAAGTTTTTACACCTCACAGAAAAATGCAAAGATAAGTTGGGTAGATAAAAAATTGAGCGGAAGTTGGCGGAAGTGTTGCTCAAACCTCGGTATCTAGGTTAGAACCTGTGGCACACTGGTCGAAAGTCAACTACTAAACCCATGAGCCGTGTTACAACACTAAGATGTCTCCCAAGGGTGACTATGATGACGCCCTCTCTCGAAAGGAAGAGTTAAGAAAGGTCAGTCCTAAAAATAGCATAATCCTCTTTGTTCTGCTATTTTTCAGTCGAACGATATGGTTTTTTCTAGTCCAATGTCGCACAATGAATTTTAAACCAAAATCTCTCCAAAAAGCAATGTATAATCAACGTCAAGAAATCTTCACTTAATTCAGTGGCCACGCAAAACTAGAGCACTTTCTCTTTCAGAAGGTTTACAAAAACGCCAACATCTACAGTATGAGCAAACAAGAAGTATGAACTGCTAGCAAGCTTCTATCCCTTTTCTTACCTAAGCGTTCCACAGACGGTAATATGCATCCAGATACACAGTGGGCAAACATGTATACCTGTCACCTCAGCCAGTGTATGCTCAAGAGATCAGCGAACGACTTGATTTTCTTACCCAGTACTACATCTAACTTAAATATTGCTCGGTCTATGATACCAATACACATGAGCAATGAATCGAGGATACCAACAACGCATTTCTGCAACCTTCTCATGCGTTTCACTTTCAGCGACCATGTTTCACAGCCATATGGTAAAATAGGATTGACCAGTGCGCGATTCACATACCATTTCGTTAGTTGTCGGACATCTCAACCATGCTTAAGTAGCATGCACCGATTTATCAGCGACTAATCCATCATTGGCTTATGCCGTAACCCAAATAAGTGGAGTAGTCGACGCATTAAACCATTTCACTTCCTTTTTGTGAACTAGCCGCTCGACATCCCGACCAACAGCTGCTACTTGACATGGTGGTTGGGCTTGCACATCACGTCTACCCAACGAGCTATGCCGGTGGGACGCTTGCCATCTCAAGGTCTAACTATACCAGGAAGGCCCGTTGGACAGTGGCTACACAAAAGCAGTTACCATTATAGCGTAAATTGTTGCGCTATTTTGAGGGTTCGAGGACGAAGTCTTATTGCTAGATGGATGGGGTGTGAAAGCAGCGAGATGTTTTACCTGGGTGACTAGCAGTGTCGTGCTGATGCTACCCTTTATATAGGAAGGAGATTTAAAAAAGGTCAGCCCAGAAGATTTCACACTCCTTCCTGCCCTACCTTCTTCCGGTGCCGACGTTATGGGTTTTTCCTATCCGGCGTTACAACAGCCGAATACCAAACCAACAATTCCCAAGAGACCGTGTGCAACAGGCCTTAAGCAGATGTCCCATGAATTTTGCCGTCATATAAATCTTCTCTTTCAGGTACCCAGCCTGCAGAAACAACTAAGACAGAGTGGGCAGCAGGGAAGTACCAAACGCATGCATGCTTTTAGTAGTATACAAAACCCACCGAAAATAAATTACCCTCCTTATCGTTGACTCCTCTTTTGCCTTCACTTCCTGATACTAACATTAGGCCTCTTACAACTTCTGCAGCCTCTCAATGTGTGAGTGATGCCATCGATTCAACTTAGGCAACACCACATTCTAGTATCCTAAGATCCCGCTGTCGGCTTCACATAGCTCTCGACGTCTGAACCCTGTGGCACGTCGGACAGCAGGCATCGCTCGTCAGAAGTCTGGGATCCTGAGCCATCGATGTGTGCTGTTTCTGAGATGCGTAAACAAAACTCACTTCTGGTTATTCACTTGACCTTACCCTGGCTATAGTAGTAAATCTCCAAATTCCACCTTAAGAGTAGCCGGAGACCCAATGATGGACTCGCTGGTGCAGGCATGGCATTAAGTTCTCTGGCACAGAGCGTTCTTCTCGACTGGGTACTAATCAACAGCCGTTTGTGTGCTGTTCAACTGAATGGATCTACAAAAACTAAGAAGGGTTGGAAGGTTAGCTAATGCCTATTCGTAATCTCCGTTTACGCACCCACCAACTGCAGTTCAGATGATGAATTTTATCAGAAGCTGTCGATTTTACCAGAGAAAGCAAAACACTTAGGCATAGTCACAATATCAAGCGAATTCAACGCTCAAGTAAGAAAGCTGAGGCAGTCGGGAAGGCATGTTGGAGGTATCTATGGAATCCCATGCCAACGAACCGCCAACCACGATCATCTATTGGAATTTCTTTCTGAAGATTACTTGTTCCTGGCAAGGACTAAATTCAAGCATTAAGAGAGATACACTGTCTCACATGATGTCCACCAACATCAAACCAACGATGGACATAGATAGATCATATTGCTGTAAGTCATTATTACAGAGGATCGGCGGAGGGTTGCCGCTTTTCTGGAGTGCCAGTTTGGACTTAATCACACGTTAGTACGGGATCGCGCATGTCTGTGTCTTAATGGTAGTAGAAAACATGGCAATGAAGCTTGTGCGTGCTCGATTGGAAAATCAGAACGTCAAGTACTTATTTAGGAAGGAGATAGGTAGGCATTTATCTGAACGTAAGACTATTGCTGATCCTGAGGAAACATGGCATGATGTTAAGTTTGTTACAGAAATAGACGAAAAGATAGTTAATAACATAAATCCAAAGGTTAAAGAAAGCGAATGGATTTCCGCAACTTCATTCAAACTGATCGATGCGAGATTTATTCCAGCTGGCACTGAACATAGTGAGGAGCGGGAGCAAATTAAATATAATTGACCAAGAATCTTCGCAATGATCTCGAGCAGTAGTGGGTTGCAAACGCAAGAGATGGAGGAAGCATCAGCAACCTGGCAACTATCTAGTGGCAAGAAAACGGTGGATATCGGAGCAGTCCCCGAAGAAACGGGACGCTGATAACCTCTCAGGACAGGTGACTAGAATGTCGGCGGAACGCAGAGAAGTACAGATCAACTGGCCTACAGAAACACTTCAGTTATCCAGCACCCAATTCAGACCTGCACGAGAGATAAATGTCGGTCACCCAACTATCCTTAAGGTTGAGAAGACTGTTTCGAACTTGAAAAAATGCAGAGTACAAGAACCTGACGGTTTAGTGCTAGACGTTTTTTAAGGATTCAGGTAGAAAATTACGGAAAAGTAACGGTGGTACTAGGTAATGCATGGGAATCAGGAGTAGTCCCAACAGCCTGGCCCACTTCACTGATCACTCCAATCCACAAAAAGAGAGGGGAATCAGTTTGACCAAAATCGTGTCCAAGATCATCGGGTGCATAGTTATCTACGTCCAACTGCGGCTCAGAAAAACTCTAGAGAAGGCAGATCTTAGGCCTGGACGAAGGTGCAACGATCATATCTTTACCTCCCGACAGGTTCTGGAACAGGCACACCTACCGACTGAAACTGACCAACAAAATCAACGGAAAACCTCACATATACGTGCATCACTTCAAGTTGCAACAATTCAAGTAGTACACAAAGAAAAGGTGAGCAGAATAAGACTGGTATCAAAGTAGACAAAGTTTTGTGAGAGAATAAATAATCTGAAAGCAAAGGTTAGTGCAAATATTCAAGCTTTAGATATCAAGGAATGAACACATCTGCACCATTGTAACCGATTTTTAGCCGTGTCACTAAGAGCCCCAAACCACTAATTTCTTTTGTTTTGGGGACCCTAACTAGGCAGTCCACATCCCCTTAAACGATTCAGACCAACAGCAGGAGACTTCATCAACTGGTATCAGGCCTTAGTTTGGCCAGTCTGAACCCTTTTTCATCCTAATCCAACTTTCTCTAGCATAGCACATCGAGGTAGGAGGTAGCTCGGTATGAGCAGTACATATCCAAGTCATCTTAGTCGACTAACGTTCCCAACCTCACTTGCCATATTTCTTGACCTGAAGATGGCATTTGACTCTATTGACCGTGAAGTGTTGTAGCATTGTCTGACTGTGAAATACCAAGAAAGTATGTAACACTAATCATAGTTCTCTGATCGAACTCACGCAGCCATGTAAGAACTTATGGAGAGTTGTCATCTGAATTGACGACAACTAATGGTTCTCATCAGGCATGCCCACTGTTAGTTTCCGTTTAACTTCGTTATGAACGCACTAACAGGGATATAACATTAGGTACGTCTGACTTCACAGGAAGTGGTCTACTCTCTGGAGGTCATCTGCTTGACTTGGTGTGCACAGGTAACATTGTCCTGCTAGATGAAGACGCTGACAAAATGTAGGGTTTTGTGAATGCGCTGAGCAGAAATCTGACTATGCTTGGCATGCTTTTTGGTGGCACCTGTCAAATGTAAGATGATGTTCCACGGGCTGCTCTGCAACCATTCCCAGTTTAATGATAGGGAGTGAAATGTGTCGACCACTTCACTTCCTAGGGGAGATATATTAACCAAAACGGCTGGTTGCTGACGAAATCTCAACTCGGATACAGAAGAGCTATTTGGCATTTGCCAAAATGTGCAATCTGTGGCGCCGGTAAGATATCCGAATGCAGTCCATTTTGTCTTTTTATAGGACTGTAAGACATGGCCATCAAAAGTAGATATCGAAGCAGTTATAGTTCTTATGTGTTTTAGTAGCATTGTTTGAGCATGGTAGAATCACCATATGAGCAATACCAAGGTAGGGTGAAGGGTAGTAGACAACGAAAGGATAGTGGTCGATGAAGTTGTGAACGATGGGACACTGAGGCGGCCCGGATGTTGCGCATGCTAAGTCATCGTTTATCCCAACATGTAACGCTAAGAGAAGCTAAATTAAGTTGGAAGAAGGCTGTCTGGTTAAGCCAAGACGTGGCATCAGTACACGAAGTCTCTGACTCTTGGTTTTTTACCATACATGGAGGTGTGGACTATCGGGTTGATGCTCCCGAGATGATAGGAATCAGTGGTTTAAGATTCTTGGTGACGCAGATGTATTCACTCTACTCAGAATGGTCTCTATCCACTTTTTTTTCCACACCCACTTACCTTACAGGCATCGTGAAGACTCTTCTTTTTGTTTGTGATGCTTTCACAATGTATCAAGGTAGAAGTCAGTGGGGATGAGAGATCACATCAGTAGGTTTGAATAAAGCTTTAAAGGCTCACTGGTTTTTAATAACGTTTGAGTGGTGGCTACTGTCGTTACCATCACTTTTCTAATAAACAGAAACATGTAACTGAAATGCATTAAATTTAAATTACTTTTATATTCAGATATAGACTTGGTTGCCTTTTGCTTTATATATTTACAAGTCAAAATTAATCATAACGCTCGATAAATAGCGACTACTTCACATAAAAAATTGCGGCTGCCTTAAAATCTTTGACTAACTATTGATTTCCTTCTGGATCCCACTCCCTTCTTGTTTTCCACTTATATCCCTCGCATAGTTGATAGTTGTGAAGGCTTTTATTGACCCCAATTTCGGGGCTCTAGGGGCCATATAGCTCATGGCTTATTCATTGTGACTTAATAGCATGTAGGTTCGTGCACTATTAAATGACCTACTTTTATCGTATTAGGACTGAGGATGTCACCTGGCTGTTTGAAATTTGTTAGGTCTAGTAAGGTCCAAACATGAAACCCAATAGTTTGAAGATAAATGCACAGGAAAATGGTTTACAGCCTACTCACTAATTTTTATAAGTTTGCAAAAGTATAAATACTCTATAGAAGTTCAAAAAACTTACAAGAGCATCGCTTGAACATGAACCCGAAATCTTTTTGATTGCATAAGTATTACCATCAATTTTATGCCTGGTCTGTGGTCTTAACTACCAAGCTTAATTTATTTACAAACCTTGTAAACGGTCCCAAAACCACCAGCTCCAATAAATACAGGGGGATCAAAATTTTCAAAAAGATATTGGTGCTGAATACAACTCAAATATCTGAAGATGATATGCTATGAGATGAAAACTGAAACCACCTCGGAAATGGACTCTAAAAATATTTAACAATGTATTTATTTACCAACGAGCGTAAAAGTTCAGAAGCTAATTCAGGTTTATATTCACGCAAAATATTCAACAAGCGCGAAAGATTCTTGCCAATATCTTCGTTCTCCGGTAATCTAAAGCTCCTCTCGGTTCCTGATAAGATTATTACGTTTGACAATGGGTAACTTACGATCATAAACCAAAATTGGACCGGGATTTCCAGACATTTTATAGATTGCACGACCTCGTAACAACCTTGACAAACAGAAGTGATGGATTTGAAAGAAAATGTTGTCCAACAAGATGTCCAACTAACTATATCTGGTCTTTTCTTTAGATCCGGAGGCTTTACTTTTATCAGCAGGCCTCTTCACAAATTCGTTTCCAATGTACGATTTTTTAAATATTTTTACCAGTTAGTATTAACTAAGTGATCTGTTTGCACTCACTTCGAAGTCTTTCGAGGAGTTACAGGTTTTGGTTAGATTCTGACGCAGTAGATCTAATCAGCTGTCTGCTGTAGCTCTGGTATACTCCACATGGAGTTAGGTGTTGGCTAAGTTTGTACGGGAGTTGCATGATTTTTCCTTATGCTGTGGTGCAGATGGGCTCCTGAAGTGTCATGTGACCAGAAAGTTGTTCAGACAGGTTTTAAAGGGAGATAGGACGATCGTCATCAAAAATAAGGGAGAGGAACTCTGTAAGCATTGCATTCCGACCGGATATGAGGGGTGGTTACCCCAGCATATATCCAACTCCTGTTTTGAAGCTTATATAAGCCGATTGATATTTTACAGATTTCAGATTGTTTGTTGTTTGATGGTAGGAGGCTGTTTGCCTATGTTAATCCTCTTCCGGCAGATTTTCTGTGCTCGTCCAATCTCCTTTTGAACGAGTCAATTGGTGATGCGGACACCACTTCTTCTGGGAGTCGGCTCCAGGTATTGGTTACTCGACACAAGATCCAGTACTCTGCGGAGACTATGTTCGTTCTTTGCCCTTGTAGTATTTTGCTGTGTCCGCCGAGGTGTTTCAACCTGGTGTGAAGGGGAAGAGAAGATAAATCAGGTCCAAAGTCGCTTCCTAGAATCTTGTATAGCATGATTAGGTCTCCCCTGTGTCCTCGGCAGGACAATGTGTAGAGGCTCAACTCCTTAGGTTGGTCTTCATATGTGAGGTCGGCCATCGCAAGGAGCATACGAGTGGCTGCCTTCTAAACTCCTTCTAGAAGGTCTGCGTCATCTTTCAGACGAGGATTGGCCGCCTGTGTACAGTTTTCTAACCTGGACCTCACCAAGGATGTGTATAAGATGGTGAACATGTCACCACTTATGTTCGTAAACGTTCTAAAAAATGCCCAGAGAGTCCTAAAACTCTGGGCTGCAACCAATCGACAGTAGCCATGGTTTTCAAGTGATAACTAACCGTGACTCCTAGGTCATTGTGGGTCAGCATTGACGGCAAAGGATTCCCATCAATGTCGTAGATGTTGCTGTGTGTATGTGCCCCAAGTGCATGCTCACACATTTACCTGCATTGATGGGCATCACCCACTTCTCTGACCAGGTAAACAAGCTGTTCAGGTCTACCTGGAGCCCACGTATGTCCTCATCGTTCCTAATTTCCGGCCAGATTTTACATCATTAGCGTAGGGAACCATAGGGGATTACTCGGTGTTTGGCAGCTCATTTAAGTATAGCAGAAACAGTAGGGGGCCAGGACTGTGCCTTGCGGCACTCCACTTTCTACCGACTGTAGCGGCCAGAATCCAATAATCCTGGCCTGAACGCGGGAAATAACTAGGCGGTGCCAACTGACGTGAATCTGACTAGTTCCTGCGTTCTACTGTATAGCTTCCCAACTTCCGCGAGTGACGCACAGTCAAAGGTTGGATCAAAATATCAAAACACGGTTTGTAGTAATTCAATAGTAGATTCGTAACAAAATCTGTGGTACTATCAAAGCAACAATAAGTTATGTGAAAATTACAAAATACCTCAACAGTGCTGTTGGGTAACTATACAGTCCAAAACGTTCTCAGGTACAAATACGTACTGTCGGTCAATAGGAATATTCCCGACAAAAGGGATCAAACTCTGCGTACATGAATCAAATCAACAAACAAACGCTCCCAGTAGGCAGTCAAAAGACAAACAGTCAAATCACTGCACAACCGTAAGTTGAAACGAAACAAAATGTCGGGCGCAGTAAAACAACATCACCTTGTCAACAGTCCAGCGTCACATAATAGGAAAGTGAAACACTCATAATAAGTCTCAAACATACAAAAGCAAACACCGAGTGTAAAGTCAAATAAGACAGTTAAACAAGCAAATAACATTACACCGGCTAGGGTGAAAGGTACACCATCCATAACGAGGGTAAAAATGTCAAAATAAATGTCAATACAATCGAATAAGGGTGATCGGGAGGGATTTTCAGATCAATTTTCCGTTACACCGACTTCCAGGTGGAATTGACCCTAACTCTTTGTCCCCTACCAACAAGAAAGTCTCTTATCCATGCCAGCAAACTGCCAGTGATTCCGAAAATTCTCAGTTTTCCGAGCAACCTGGAATGAGGTACTTTGTCCAACGTCTTACTAAAGTCAACGAGAATGACACCTACCGGTATCCTATCATCTTTAGACTTAACCTAACTTCTGTGGCTGTAAGAAGGTTCGCCAAGCAGAGAAATTTCTACGAAAACCATGCTGTGAACGGGACAATAGAGTGTTGCTCTCTAGGTGGACTATGATGGCTTTCTTGATTACTATCTTTTTTGAAGGAGCACCAAGCACCTTCAACTGAGGCCTCTGGATTGACCGTCTAGTCCTTTAAAGGGCTGCCAGGTTAATAGCTTCCAAATTTGCCTTCCAAATGTTGTGTCTAGCTGAGGCATCGGCCTGGTACTAGACACCTGCTGTTAATCCGAAGATGATCACAGCGTGATCACTTTTGCCAATGGATGCTGGGTGCCTGATGAAGCACATATCATCTGTATGTGGGAATACTAAGCGCAGAACTGATGGAGCCCGCTGATGATGTCTATTTAGTGTCCTAATGTGCCGTATGAGGGCAGAAAAATTGATGTTTACACTAACTCGTGGCCAAAGGAACTCCGTGGCGCTTTTGTTGTTAGTCTGTCCCAGTCAACTGATGATGCGTTGAAATCTCCTACAACTAGACATCGGTATTTATCTGTCCAGAGTGTCAGCTTATTCAGGAGGAAGTCTGCTGCCTCACAATCAAGGCTTCGATATATCACGATTACGTTACCATCGTGCTCCTTGCTTTTCAGTCGGCAGCGCAGTATTTCACATATCCCACTTTCATGTGCAACTGTTTCTACGGCTTTTACAGTTAATTTATTCTTAACGTAAAGCATGACACCACCACCTTTGCACGCTGACATGTCACTTCCAAAAGGGTGAATCCCCGTAAGTGTGTTTCACAGTCAGTGATGCAAGAAGAGAACCAAGTTTCTGAGATAGCAATGATGTCAGGGCTTTCCTTGCTTATCACATTAATAAGCTTAGCCCACTTGTTTAAAAGACTATGCGCATTCGTGTAAAAGACGACGAAACTACCTAAATGAGTTTCTGTCCTACCCATAGGGGTTCCAGCATCCTTTGCTGCTCTCCAGCTGCTAATCTGAATTTTAGTTCTGCTTCTGCTTCTCGTTTTGGATTCTACCAGCAAGAGTCAGATCCTTTTGCGCGAACACTCCAGACCCTAGAAGCCTATGGACATTCTTCAGAGTCTGGTTTTCCCATCTGCTGACTTGAATACGACTTTAAGTAGCCGAAACTTACCTTCAGTAATGAGCGTTTCCTGTTTCCTACTCCATGTATCCTGAGCAGGGTGACTCCTGGCATGTTTTCTCACAAAGGCTGGTTTATCAATTTTCGTACCTTGCCAAAGTCATGTTCGAAACGTTTGCTAGGTCCTGGGTCTCTACTTTCTTCCACTCTGCGAAAAATTATGGACCCGTCAAGAAGCTGTATTTTGTTTTTACTACGTTGAGTGATGAAGGCCAGCTCGGTTACTGTTATCGGCTTCTAAGCATGCTGTTTAGGCTTAATAAATTGGCACTTTTCAGAGTCGGTTATGCAAGGTTTACCAATGCCTAGTCTATTGGCCCTGACAATGAGAGCCTCGAAACGGACTTGCATCCCATTCTGTGTCACTTTTGTCAATGACTGGGTCGCCGAACTTAGCATGACCTGAGGCCTGCGTGGTTCTGTCGTTGGAACTGACATCGCTTCACCCCTGTTGCCTTTATCTGATGCAGATCTAGTCTTGCGGTCAGCAGTTTGCAGACTAGGTCTGCCAGTCCTGGGAATGCGAGATCCAGAAGATACTCGCTTCACTCTGCTTGGTGTAGTTTTCTCCAAGTTGCTGTCAGCAAGCCTAGTAGGTAGTCTACGCACCCGACTTAAAGCTTATCGTGGGACGTTCTTGAAAGTCCGCACAACAATCTATGTGTCAATGGATGTTGTGTCGTTATCACTGTCACAGTTATTGGCTTTCGACGACAGTTTCTTACTTATTGTATTTAGAAGTGTTTTCACTTCTTCCACCAGAGTGCGAATACCTGAGCAGCACAAAGTACAAAGCTAGACACTTTCTGCGCCGCTGTGCCCCTTGTATGCTGAGGGTGTGAGGCTTGTACAGCTGTCGTGGGACCAGCTCTTACATTCGCTACACCGCATACCGGAGGCCACCATAAAGTAGCACCCGACACTGCTACAAGCATTTTTACGACACTTTTGGCTCACCATGAAGCAAAAAATCGAATAACCTTCCGACTAAAGCAAAAATACAACAGCCTTTGATGTGTAAGCATAAAAAATGCCAAGAATCTAGCTGAACGTGGAAGGCCACTCCCCTTTTCAAACAGCGAGCTCTCTTCCAGGTCCCATGGGACTGCTCCTGGTCGCTGGCTAAGTCCGATGCGGTAGATTCAACCGCTGGTCGGCAGTAGCTGTGATACAGGCTTAGAGTGTATGCATGTCAGTTGAATTAGCACTGAGATGCATTATTCGCCTTGGGAGTGTTGTGCAGATGAATCACTCGAATTTCGTCTCACAAGACACCCGTTAGGACTGTCTGTGAAAGAAGGACAAGGAGATAAAAGAAATAGCCAAAAGGAACACGGAAAATATAGTTGAAGGGAGAAAAGAAAAGTGACAAAATCCGTGTTACCGCTGGGAAAACATGAGGGA